CCTGGATGTTAACGTATTCGCTTGAATTTCCTGACATGGTTCAATCTTATTCGGACGCTGTTGGTTAATCCTCCTTCTACTGGATCCGTGGGTGGTCAAAGTGTTACACGGGGTAAGGGTCTATACTTCTCTATCCTGGTCCGCACTAAGGCAGGTGAGTATTACGTTAGTGTTCCGTGAGGCTTGTCTGGCGATGCAGTGGAGTTGGCGTGCTTAAGGAGGGTTTGACAAGACTAATCTATTTGATAGACTAACTTGTGACAATCTTGTTAAGTAAAGATACTAGTAAGAAAGTACAATTTGAGTTGACCACAACGAATGTAATAATGAAATCCAACCCATTCTTATATCCGTTGCCTTTGGTCCTGCCATCCCTTACTTCCCTGCCATCCCTGGGATGGTTGTGATGTTGGGGATGGCTGCCATCCCAAGGCGTCCTGCCATCCCTCGGATGGTTGCCCTTGGCGGGATGGCACATCACGTGACCTAGCCCCGCGATGATCATTACCTTCTGACGTGGACGTCCATAGGCCTTCAGCCATCTCGTCATTTGTCAAGGAGAGAATCCTTCTTGTTACTTGTAACAATTAGCTGATTAGCTTATATCTCTAACAACTTACAGTCACGTGGCTACCCTATACTAAACTAGGATATCTTGGCTTAAAAATGCATTAACTCGTTTTAGGATAGCTTTTCTAGTTATTAAATAATAACCGTTTAAAAACGACAACTTTTTGGATTTGGACTTTTTTTTGTCACCCCACTGTAGAACAATCAAATGCGGCACAAAACCCTACTGCGGAGCCTGTTTCTACATGTTTTGAATCTCAAATATCGCTGTAAATTAGTTAAGAATAATAATAGAGAGACTTGGCTGCACTTGGCAGTTGTGTGAGAGAGCACGACGATAGTACGGCTACTAGGAGAGAACAGAGCAGATATGTAAGGGAAAGACTAGTTTATTGAAGAAGGGTACTGTGGTAGAGCAATGCATATTATCAGAAACCATACCGATAGCTGTTGCGTTCACCGTGTCCCACTCGAGGGACCGATATCCGGGAACATTGTTGTAAAACATGAAATACTTGGCCCCTCGTGCCGCCGCGTTGGTTATCTTATCATCAAAAAAGCAAGTGCCACGACGGATAAGAACAACCTTTTCCGATAGGTCGGGTGTTGTATCAGGGAGAGGATTGCATGCTTGGTCGGTCTCATTAGTATTAAATGATGGAGTCCAGAGTGGCAACTTGATGCCCTTCCAGTTGCGTGGCCTGCCGATCGCATAGTCGAAGTTTTGTTCCGCGTTGTCTGAAACTGCATAGGAGGCTCTAACCAACAACACGGGCGTTACAGTGTTGTCGAAAGAAGTGATTGCGGCAACACCCCTGCCCCCTGCTGGGCTTTGCGCCATAAATAGTCCGCTCGTACCTGTGTTCCCAGCGGAAGCAGTAATAATTACACCTTTAGCTACTATCCGGGCAGCAACAATATTGATTGTTCCAGCACTCCATCCACTTATAGCTCCAAGAGAAGAGTGATGATATTAGCCCCATCCTGTTGGGCACGCAATAATGCAGCTATGATGACGTCGTCTGTGGTAGAAGTCTGGCAATTGAATACCCGGTAGGCTGCCAGCTTAACATTCTATAACATATTAGAAAAGGTCGATGATAGCCTTTCTAAGAATACATACAGGAGCAGCCCCGGTAAAGCCGAGTTTATTCGGCTGAGCAGCAATGATACCGGCAACATGAGTACCATGTCCCTAGTTCCTGTCAGAAATCCTATCTCGCGTAAAAGTTCTAAGATCGAGGACATACCCAACATGTATCTCGAGGGTCGTTATCAGGAACGGGGGTATTAGATCCATTGAAATTGTCCCCAACGAAATCATAACCACCAACGACTAAACAATTGGGTCCCAAGCACTTGCCTAAAGCTTCGTGTGTGTAATCAATCTAGCTTTAGATTAATATCGTTGTATATTAATGAAAAAAGCTCGATGATACATACGCCACTATCAATGACTGCAATTTTCACACCTTCACCAGTTATACCCTTTGCTCGTAATTTGTCGACTTGAGTCTGGACATGAGTCGAGAGCATGTCATTGCTGTTGGCTCGTCTGACTACCTGCCCCGACACTGATTCTTCTGATCTGCGTGATGCAACAGCATGAATTTGAGCATCAGGTGCAGGAATGAGTTTCTTTGGCCAGACGTTTCTAATGGCTGGCAGCACTAGTAATTCAGCGACGCGCTCATCTAATGGCTTCTCATCGTTGAACTGGATAGTAGCGCCCTGAAACAATTCGTAATTCAAATCTAGAGTCTTGGTTGCTCCAACATTGTCCAAGGCGGATATGGCTTGCTGCATATATTTAGCAAACGGTACTGGTGATTTTCGGTGGCTATCACTACCGAAACATCCTCGTATTCAACAATGAAAGCTCTTGGAACTATCTGTGCCGACTCTGATCCAGCTACAGCGCCAACTAAAACAGATAAGAAGTATGGTACCCAGAACATGGTAACAATCTGTAAGGAAAAGAACGAGTAATAAGATAAGAGGGATTCAATGCACGCAGCGCGTGTGTAGTACAAGGGAGTGTCCAAAGGTAGAGACTGGGTGACCTGTATGATGACGAGTATAGTTACTATGTACTCCAGAGGAGATTCGCCCTTGCCAAGCCCCAATGCTTTACCTCGAATGACCTTCCACGCGATTTTCTCAACTTTCAGCAACACAGAGTCCCGTCGTGATTGAACGGGTAATCTTGTCAGCATGCACGCCAACATAACGCACGTCTTGTCGGGCCTTTGAACCCCCATGGCAAACAGCAACTTCAACGCGACGCCAAAAGGGCTAGCTTTGTTAAATTAAAGAGCCGCTTGGCAAAGCGATCCCGCACCTACTGCTCGTACTGTGTAAGCACTAACCCAGAGTGCCGTGATCGCAATATTCCACTGTATGTGCATACCATCCACATAATATCAGCGGCTGTTCTACCTACATATACTGCACAAGAAGCCTTTGAAGCGTGTCGTAGGCTTAGTTCAGCTCAAAGTTCATTCAACCCTTTGAACGTGAAGGGCACCCAATCGCGTGTATATTCTGCATGATCATCACACAAATGTTGTCTTGAACGAAATCACATGCTCTGAAAACGGCTGTTGCCTTTAACGAACCATATCATATATCCCTGGCGTATTTCACACAGGCCTTCGTTTTTGCCGAACCGTGACATACTCGGATAATATGTGCTAAAACTCTGATAAGGTAAGAATGGCTATATCTATGGACGGGAGGTTTTGCTGTAATACTCTAAACTGGGAAATGCCAATAACTAGGGTTGTTTGAAACATCTTTCCTGCATCTTTGTCTTGCGAGAAACGTTCGCTATTAAAACCTTCCTCATAGTGTGAAAAGGGATATTTGGTTCATCAAACTACTAATCACGTAGACGCATCATAATATGCACGTGTGGTGAAACTCCCTCCGGTCGTCTTTCCTGCAGAAACTATTGAGTCTTGTATCTATGTGCTGGGGAGCGAAATGGAGCGCATTATATTGAGGACTGAAAGTGGGTATGACACCAGGTAGGCGGTAAGACTTAGGCTATATATAGTATAGCGTCAATTAAATCTGTTGAGAACAGCCAATAAGTAAATCCCCCAGCACAGACTAGGCATAGGGTTATCCGAAGAAGCGCCTCGTCATCTTTACGGGCTTCTCCACGTACGAAGATTCTGTCCGCGACCAAGGAAGTGCTTGAGTACAGTACGGAGATCTCCGAGCAGAGGCTCCGAGGTTTTATTACAGCTCTTTCGTTGGAATCATTACCTCGACTGTGAAGTCATTATTGTTCTTGATACCAGATTCAGGCAGGTTAAGGTGCGATCTACCTTTCTTTCCGCTCTACGACAAACAGATGTAATAAACCTATGGCATAATTAGCACCTTCTTTGGGCAGTGGTTGGTAGTTTCATCAACAATCTAATGAATGTCACTACGGAACCGGCTATTGTATTCGGCCCGTTCCCCTGAAACTCGAGACCGATAGCACACACCTCCGGTGGTCCCAGCGTTAATCAACTGCTAAACCCTCGGCAGATGTCATGATATCTATATACATCTGAGATGTACTTGAGTAGGTAGAGCCTGCTCAGCTCCTCCATCTTCTGTCTCCGTTTTCTTGCCCTTTAGGGCTAAGAGCTTCTACAGTGCTGTTGGCTGGCCTCTATCCAGATTGAGGTAGAAAACGGAAATGGCTGTTCGACTGGGGCTCCATTTTGTAGCGTTCACACGTCTGTTGTTCTAAACATTACACCGTTTCCAGCTTCATTTTCCAGACGAAGCCCAGATTGAACTTAGCAGACACAAAATGAAGACGAAACCGAACAGGTCCACAGCAGAAAATACAGGTGGCCAAAACAGTAGTAGTGCAGTGATGATCTAGAGAAGCAAGTTGTGAGTAGTAGCTAAACTAAGCAGAGGAAACCCACCAGGGCGCTATACCTCAGCAGTACTAGGTCACGTGTACATTTGATAACACGTGTTGTAGTGTTGTAAGCTGTATCGCGGTCCTCTACGATGTGGGCTGGCTGAGGTCAATCCGATGCTCAACGGGTGAAGAAAGAGTGGTGGAAATGTTGAACTTGATTCCAATAATTGTCGCCATATAGACGGGATAATGACATTGTGCCTGCTCTTTCCTCAGTGGTTCTGTGCGATACCAAACTAACATCTTTTCAAAGACCTGGATAGAGCAATAGGGCTATATATCAAAACTTAGGAACAATAATTTAATCAATCCCAGACTTTAAATTCAAATTGATTGATACGTTCTTCAACATCTGCGTTTTCAAGTTGGGTGGACTAAGCAAATCAATAAATTCATTACACTCCAGTCTGTGTGCATCCATGGACCTAAGCCAAGGTTGTGAGAGAGCATATCAATGTAGTGGAAATACCAATAATAAAGCTTTTAGTATTTCCAGTAGCTCTAAGAAGCGGTATATAAGAGTCGAATGATTCCACGAACATTCCTAAGCTGTACTCATCATAGCACGCAGCCACTAAAGTCTCGTCATCGCCTTAATTGGCTTGCCAATCTTCTGTACGGTCTACAAAGTTATCAAATGGGCGAGAAATTAATGCCGACGTCAATCTGCTGGGTAGGCGCAATGATAGCTGTCTTAATGACCTAGTTTGTTTGTACGCCGTCTCTAAGGCCAGCCTTCAACAACTTATACGTATATAATGTATATGGTGATTAATACCCATAGCAGAGATTCTAAACTTGGTTCGAAGAATATCGTAAATCAATATTAGCTACAAGACAGTCTGATACTAGATTGAGCTAGGCAGACTCCAACCACCGTCTCTGTCCCCAAGTGGCTCCTCTCAAAGCCCAATGCAATATTACCGTAATCTCTTAGCATGTATCTACGAGAATAGCCTCGAACAGTGCACCTCCACCACAGGAATGCGTTGCTCTCGTGAGACCTAGATTATGTGTTTGCCTTTGGCACTTCCTCCAGAGCACATTGGCCCTTAGCTTAGTAAATGACTTCTTTACAAGATTCATGTTAGTTATGGTAATTTTTGCAAGGCTTCGGGTACCGTGGCCAGCAGCTGACATCTTTGACACGGTCCGATACTCGCACCTTCGAAGACAAGTGCTCGATTTTCTTTAATCTTAGATCGGATAGAAGTTGATTATGATCGACGAGAGTGGACTTGAGACCGTTATATCCATCAGTGTAACTGCATACTTGGTCCTATTGTGTTGTTCTTTGTTAGTTCCTTGTTGGAATTCATGTTTATGGAGCAGATAGCTCTCGTCGCTCAAGCAAAAAAATACTTCCTGCACCAGCGCTGCAAGAGAACGTTAATTTTCCTTGCTAATATAGATTATTATAGGCTCCAAGAGCATGCAGGTATATCTAGCTAAGAAATTTTACGGAAGAGTGGGTAAATTTGGATACTTCCCCAGCTTTCACTGATAGGTCTTGGGTGAAATTGACGCGGGTAATTTGGACGCCCCATCGATTACCCTCGTCTAGCTCGTGATTGAGCGGTGTAATTTGTCGACTTGATTTATTCTCCATGCTGTGCTTCGCCGGTTTTGTATATCAGAAAAGTTGTTAGCGCCTACATAGGCCTCATACCTATAAACAGCTTAGAGTGTTCTTGTTATTAGCTATAACTTCACGCACCTAAGCATGCGACCGAGATTTTATAGGTCCTCTTCAATGTTACATGGTTGCTATGGAAAATTCACCTGACCTCCAGCATGTGGAGATCGTCTCGTTACAAGCGGTGAGTATCAAGCACACTTATGAGGCTGAGCTTCAACTTATCAAGAAGACATAATCAGCCTGGAGATTATTCCACTCGAATTGAGAAAGAACTCTATGCATGCAGTGTGCATAAAACAGGGGAAATTAAATGGCAGTAGTATGCAAGGGCACTAGACTCGAGGTGATTAATGCCTTGCGCCTTTCGTCAAGTTGACAATGCCTGCATCCTAGTAAGATTACCATTGCCCTTGAGAGGGCCTCACCTGACCTTCAACCAAACATCTCGCATCTTTAGAAACGTGGGTAATGGTGTACATATATAATATCGAGAGAAAATCTTCCAGTTTTCGAATTTCTGTGTCTAAATTGGCGCCATTGAACACCTGTGACAGCATCCGCTAGTTGGGTCAAGGCAAGGGCAGGTATCCTCCAAAAGGATGAGTTGTACGTGAAAGTTAATGGCCAAATCCTTGAAGCATCACCCATACCTTAAGTCAGATATTTGCATATTACCCGGCTGCACGGTCGATGGATAGTTTTTGAAGAAAACACGAAGGATGTAGGATTTGAGTTGAGATGTACGAAAGGCCACCCGAGCGCATTAGCGCATGCCTGGCGGCTCCAAAGTGGGCTGCGCGAGGGATATCGCCCGAACCACAAGCCAATGGGTACTGACCCGTCTTCCCGCGCACTACCTCAAGTTGATCACATTACAATGCCGCAAAAAACCAAGCTCGAAACATGCATGCACATGACTCAAGATTCATATTCTCGAATCACAATGGATGCTGTGCACTTACACTGCTATTGTGTTGTTACCCCGCGCAGTTCGCCCCGTTCTCGCACCGGTCGACAACGATCCTTATGCAAGGTTGCTGGACCATCTTCCCCTTGCGGACTGGGGCATTATGCCTTCTCATAACTTCTTCTCCATATATGAGAATGCGAAGGCTACCTTTCCAATCGCAATCTTCCATTTAGGCGCTCCCATTCAATCATGTTTTCACGCATTTTCGCGCCGTTTGCTGTGATCGCCAACTCATTATATCCCCTTGTGTCGTGTGTCCCGACGACTTCATTCGATATTATGTCCAGGACCCCTGCCTCAGGTATCGATGTGGAGGCCCTGGTTCCGAAACTCTCACCAAGCGCCAAAATATACCTTCCCGGCACCGACGAATTCATCACCTACACAACGCGTTGGTCCAACCTCGAAGCTCCGACTCCCAGCATTGTGATTGCTCCTGGTACGGAAAACGATGTTCAGCACATTGTGGGTTACCCAGCGACTGGTGCCGAGTTCAGCGACTAATCGAGGAACATACGCTCTAGGTCAAATTCGCAAATGAGCATGACGTTCCATTTCTTACATACAACGGGCATCATGGCACACTTACTACTTTAGGCAAGATGGATTATGGGATCGAAATATACATGCCACAGCTGGATTCCCTTGCTATTAGCAAAGATGGTAAATCGGTGACTGTTGGTGGCGGTATCAACTCTAAAAAATTGATTGATATGCTTTGGGCAGCTGGAAAGCAAACTGGTAGGATCCACCCATCTAAGATGTTGAAAGTCATCATACCTAAGTCAAACCAGTCACCGGATGCTGTGAATGCGTTAGCTTTTTGGGGCCTGCGTTGGGTGGGGGGCATGGCTGGTTGCAGGGTCATCACGGGCTTATTACCGACCAATTTGAGTCTATGAACATTGTCCTCGCCAATGGCGACTTCAAAAGTATTGACAGCCGATCGGATCTGTGGTGGGGTATGCAAGGGGCGGGCCACAACTTCGGAATCGTCACATCCGTTACTACTAAGATTTACGACATCGAGCACTCGAACTGGGCGATTGAGACAATCGTTTTCAGTGGAGACAAGGTTGAAGAGGTCTACCAAGCTGCCAATGAATACATACTGAGGGGTGGGAATCAATCAGTCGAAATCCAGAATTGGTCGTACTGGCAGAACGACGCTACACTGGATTCGGAAAAGGTAAAATGAACTAATGACGAACCCAGCATATTTGCGTAAATGCTGATATCAATACAGCCAGTCATAATCATGTACATCATCCAAGAAGGTGTTACTTCCGTGGATTCCAAGTACACTGCTCCCTTTCACGATATCGGTCCTCTCACCATCACTCCCCAGTCCGGCACTTACCTTGACCTCGCCAAATGGACCGGCATTGCCCTTGATTCGCCTCCTTGTCAAGACTTTGGTTTCAGCAACCCGAGATTTCCTATCTACACCTCCACCTACAATATCACCGCCCAACGCAAGGCATATGACCTTTACGCGTCAGCCATTTCTGGTGCGGATAACCCATACTACAACTCGATATTTATGTTCGAAGACTATCCTAGCGACGGTGTCCGTAATCGCGAAAATGGCGCTAGTGCTTTCGGGTTCCGAAATGACTACCTGCTCTCTGCTCCCCTTATCATTTACAACTCTACCGGCCAGGCCCAAGACGATGCTGTTAAGCAACTTGGTACTCAACTCCGAAACATTATCTGGGAGGGTACTGGCAAGAACGAACTTCATACGTATGTCAATTATGCGTATGGAAACGAGGGATCACCAAGCTGGTATGGTCACGAGGAGTGGAGGCAGGAGAAGCTGAAGGCGCTCAAAAGAAAGTATGACCCTAAGGGTAAATTTAGCTTCTATGCGCCGATAGCATGAAGCAGGTCCGGACTGTAAATGATAGGGGAGGATCTGGACTAGAGTTTTATCCACGATGACAGATGATCAATGAACAGTATAAGCGATACGTCACATATGCTGAGGTTCTTACTACCCTTTGACAGCCTTTCGCGCAGGGGGTATCGATCGCTGTTGTGGCAATCGTGTCTGGGACCAACCGCTTGTATATAGAACCAAGCATGGGGACGGCATAACATGATGTGGTTGAGCATCAAATGGCCCAGCCTCAGAAACCCCGACAGTATCTAACATAAGGTAGAATTTACATTGCAGATTGGTTTAGAAAATGGCGTTTCGAACAAATCGTAAAAAGATTCCAACGGTATCGCTAGATGCGAACGAGAGGTACATGGCCAGACTCATAACCTTTCATTATCAATCATTATAATAAGCTCAGTAATTGTAAACAGGCATCGATGGAGAAAAGCCAGTAAGCCTCTCGCCAGCGGTAGGCCTAAACTTCTTCTCTTTATACCACTCATGGGCAGTCTGAGACAGCTCCTCAACCTCGCTGAAATCGAACGCCGGCTTGGGGAGGAGGTCGTAGATGCCTCTGGACAAGTCGGTGCCGATATTGTATTGCTGCGCCAGGTACTTCTTCTGGAGGGTTGTTAGCGAAAACGCGACATGCGGAATTGGTGAGCGGGAATCTACCTGAATTTCGGGGTATCGGACAAACTTAAGCATGTTTGCAGTATTCTTGATGGTGTTTTGCTTCTCCTGTTGGCTCATCACGCGTGACCAGAGCTCCTTAGCCTGGTCGTACTCGTTCTTCTTACCCTCATGCCAATAATGACTCTTTCGGCTCATGATGTTGTCGTTGACCTGGTATGGTGCTTCAGCCACGTCGGGCCGGAACTTGTGCGCAAAGCTGTTTGGGGCATACTGCTTGTTTCCAGCATGATTGGCATCGACGCGCATCTGGCCGTCAAAATTGAGGGATGCGAAAGACTTGGCCATGAATGGGCAGTTGACGGGAATCTGGTGCAAGTTCACACCAATACGGTGGTACTGCGCATCGCGGTAGAAGAACATGCGGAACTGGAGAAGCGGATCGGGCGAGTCTTCAACACCGGGCACCATGCTACCGGGGGAGAAGGCCGCCTGCTCGACGTCACGATGGAAATTCTCGGGGTTCTTGTTAAGAACCAAGCGTCCAAACTCTTGCATGGGAAATTGCTTACGCGGCCAGACCTTGGTGACGTCAAAGGGATCGAAGCCAAGCTTATCGGGATCAGCATCCTCTGGACTCATGACCTGCACGTGTGCTTTCCAGACTACCTCCTCGCCATTCTCAATAGTCTCATATAGATCACGCTTGGAATAATCAGGGTCCTCGCCACACATTTGTGTCGCTTGTTCCTGTGTGAATTGCTTTTGACCGTGCTCAGCAATAAAGTGGTACTTAATGTACACGAATTGACCGTCCTTGTTCACCCACTTGAACGTGTGGCATCCATATCCATGGTTGAAACGCCAACCCTGGGGCGTGCCATGGTCACTGAAGAACATGAGGCCAGCGTGGTTACCCTCGGGGGTGTTGGCAAACAAGTCGAAAATGGCATCGTAATCGAAAAGGAAGTTCTTGGGGTTACGCCATTGCGAGCGGATGACATCTGGACCCTGGATAGGATCACGGCAGAAGAAAACAGGGAAGTTCAAACCAACGATGTCGTAGTTACCCTCCCCAGTGTAGAACTTGATGGCAAACCCACGAGGATTACGAGCTTCGTCGGGATACTCGCGCCCAGGAGTAACGGTACTGAATCGTATGAATACGGGCGTCTTCTCACCCACAGTCTTCAGGAAATCGGCCTTGGTAAGGTGGGTGACATCTTTGGTGGTCTCGAAATAGCCAAAAGCACCTGAACCGCAGGGGTGCACCATGCGCTCAAGGTTCTTTGAGCGATTGAATGTCTGCTGCTTCTGGAAGAGGAACACATCGCTAGCGACGGGGATCCCGCCGATGGTCTTGCTATGTTCTGCGTCTGGCCATGGAATGCCTTCGTTGTTGGTGAAATATGGGCCGTCGTCTTCACGCTTTCCACCCTGGGTAACCCCAGCAACCTTGGCGATGATGTCTGCTGGGCCCTCATTTGAGCTCTGCATATGGAAAGCCCTGGGGGCGCGACTTTCGCCAGAAGCAGCTCCCTTGATGGCCATTGCGGTGGCTTCAAGAGGGTGCTTGAGAGGGTCAGTCTGGTTCGAGTTGGCGTTGGTGCTGGTCATGGTGGGCAGCTTGGACATCAAAGATGCTGGAATCTCCATAGTTGACCGTGGAAGAGAGAGGTCGAACTTAAGGAAGTAGGGGCGGGGTGCGAAATGAGCGTGTCAAGATGACGATGCTGTGAATAATGACATTGTGCTGGAATGGGATGTTTGACGCATGCGAGCTGCAGGCCAGTGATACCATAACAAGAAGGTGACGAGCCATTCTGCCGTGGCATTGGAATGCCGAGGTGTCGTGTTGATGGGATTGTGGTTGATATGCGTTGTGTATGATGGCGATGTTACGTCAGGCCAATCACAACACAAGGCTCCACAGTCTCCGAGGGGCATCTTTATCCAACCAGCAGATAATGATCCTAATCGTTTTCGATTTCGAATATTATCCAAGCAATAGGCAATATCTACTAATAAAGACCCAGTAATATCGTAAAAGACAGATCCGAAAGATTGTGGTTCACATGGTTGACCTACGTGATCGTTGCGTTGCGTTGACGATACGTATACAATACCGACAACAGGATCCTCGATATAACCGGGCCATCTGACAATCGAACAACTGGGTAGCCCTCTGTTTTCAGAAAATCTGTCGTATCCGTATGATATGAATATGACGCCCGTGCGATCGCCGCGACCATGTTGGCATTGACGCTGTCTTGGGCGGAGGGTCAACTTCGAAATCCACGCTCAATTAGCTTCGCAGGGCTTCTGCTGTCCGTTTATCACGGATAGAGTTGATTTCTTTGAATGGTTATGAGACAGTACCCAAAACCTTTCCGCATCATCAGTCAGTCAAATCATTCCGCTATCTCACCGCTTGACAACCACAGAATAGCAAAGAAATACATGTCCTTCGGGGGTCGCTGATGTTCATTTCGCGCTGTCTTCAATCGCGCAATTCACGACTCTTTTATAATCAACAACATTACGCAAAGTCCCAGAAGCCGTCTCACAGGCGTAGATGGCAAGGTCAATAGATAGGTAGGTACACCGGATCGAGGGGAAAAGGATGGAGAAGATGGCATTCTTGCAGAGCCTACTTTATAGGGGGAAGGCCAGATACCGGAGCTGAGAGATGTTCAAAAAGTGCCGATAAAGCTATGAAGCAATTTGTCGAGTCAGTGTTGTGAGCAGCCGCGTTGTTCAATCGGCAAAGTTATACTACCCTTGAGCACTCGGTTGCACGTGACCCAGCATAGTTGCAACATCATCATTAACTTTAGCGCATTGCTCAGCGCTGTGCTTTGTCTATGCTATTTTTGGATAAGTTCTTAGCACCACGACTTTAATCTGCATCGTTGTAACGACACCAAAATTTCATCGTACTCTACATTCGTGGGGCGGTCACGATCAGTCAGTCCTGTTTCCCAGACGACCAGTCCGCACATACTGTGGTCCAAGCTCCAGGCTACATGTCGCGCCTTTGCACTATGTATCATGGACGCATCGAGTAGGGATCATCATTCAGCGCTTGTCTTTGCCGTGCGCATACTCTACAATCTCATCAATGCGAATTGTAACTGCTACGTACGGTCCAGCTAGCCACAACAGAGCGCACCTCCACGAGTCTTTCAGCTCGTATATTTGGAAAATCCTTTTACCTTGCACATGGATAAATGCCACGCTTTATCTGAACTAGGTATGGACCCGCACGCACCCCAAGGCTGCTGCAGGTAATCTCCCGAAGCCAAACTGTTGTTTGGGTAACGTCGCCGTGCAACCGCCCCACAGGAAAGGAGACCGCCAAATGCCACGTCAATGTCCCTACACCCTGCAACGAAAGCTGCCTCGGTATTTTTCGCATCACTTTGTCCAACGCGTTTAATTCTCGCTCTGTCCCTAATGCCAGCAGACAGAACTTGGCCTGTTAAACAGCGCCACCGACAGCGCACTCGACTTATCTTTCTGTGTCGGATGACCAACCATCCTTCCGGCCAAGCTTTCAAAGTGACACTGCGCCAAAAAAGAAAGGGAGAAAAGCCCAGTTCAGGCGTCGGCCCGAGCCACCCAATAAGGCGCTATCAAAATGCCATGTGACTAATCAAAATCCTGCTTATCTTTCCTCTCACCGCGGCAGGCTGTGGCTTTCTCAGCCCAAAGCAGAAAGTCTTCTTAGTGAATGGGCTGATTGTGTCAGAGTTCGCATGTTTTCTCATGCACCTCCAGGGATATTCACAAGATGCCCATATGCAGCCCATCAACGCAATTCTCCCGGGTTCTAGATCGATGTTTACCAGAGAGGGTCGCCTCGAAAACTCCGTCAAGCGACCCACCATGGTCAGGGTACACCATCCTTCGACCGTATCGTGGGAAATGTTGCATATACCCATGCCGCTGACATTTCCAGTCACTAACAGTGCATTCGAACTGCTCATGCTTCATTCAGTCTTGGGCAATGGAATACATATGGTTAAACAAGATCTTACACTTCAAGCAAGTATGCCTGCGAGAATCCAGTCCTGGGATGTACTCAAGTCAAATGTAGGGCTCTAGCGTGCCTCCGCAACATAGGCGAGACATGCCGCATCTGCAGCGGCAAAAGGGCTTAGCGCGCCTCTAGGGCAGACCGATTGCTGCACGGAGACCGCTGACGAAGCGACCTACATATACATGGTCTGGGTATTGCCCGACCTCTTAGGCTAATTTTACAGCACCACCGACCTAGGTGAGCGTCTGTGGCACGCTCAAATGACATGGATTTCTTCATCTCAAGACTATTCCAGTTGACACAAGCCAGTCTCCTGTATCTTGTCTTGGATAGCGTCTACATCTCGCCTACCGTACACGCACAAAACTTTCGTCTGAACCCACTAAACAACTTTTGCTCGAGATGGTGTGAGTGGTGCTATTCGTAATCATTTGATCCACCCGTCACTCCTCTAGGAGATTGATAATTGACTCAGGCGATGACTGCTGATACGGACCACCAACAGGGGCACAATCGGTCGTGAAGAACGACATCCTGTACATCGATAGTGGAGTACAAAAATGGAATGGCACGGATGTCACCAACCCGATTCTAGGCATAAACAGCTACATGATCACCATACCTCTTAACTCGACATGGGACTGGAAGTCGAACATTACCATGGATGCTCAAGCTAAGAATGTAAAGAATCCGACTACCGGTACGCCACCACCCAGCCTCATTCGTGGTCATATGTTCCATGGCCCTATTGATCAACCCAATGTGTACGTGTACGGCGGTACAACCTTCATGGGCAATCAGTCCTTCGAGGCATTTACGCGGCCAGAATCATCGGCATTCTACCCTCTGTGGTCATATACGTATGGAGCTGGCAACTCCTGGGACCAATACTCAAAAGATACCGAGTGGACGCCCAACCATGGCGCAGCGACTGAGGCGATAGATCAAGGTTTGGCCTTCTATCTGAACGGCCAGATTGACTGGGGTACCGCACCAAGGACAGTTGATAGTTTCCCGAAAACCGAAGACATCTATGTGCCTATGGAGGGTATGGTTGTTCTCGACCTCAAGTCGCAGAGTGCGAAAAACATATCGACTTCCGGATTGAGAGGCGGTGCTCCTAGGGTGGGAGGTACGATGGAATACTTTGCTTCGATTGGTGGTATGGGAGCGCTTGTAGCACTTGGTGGTCAGGTACAACCTAATCTTGCCAGCCCTTTTGCCAATGTCAGCACAGGCTTATTGGTGAGTAAAACTGTCAGCTTATGAATCCTCAACTTACACTCCAGCAGATTGACTTTGAGACGGTCGACATGTTCGATATCGATTCTTACCTCCAAAAACCAGACAGCAACGGGACTTGGTATTCGCAAAATACCACTGGAGATGTACCAGAACCACGCATAGACTTCTGTACAGTGGCTATTTCATCACCCGATAACTCGAGTCATCATATTTACCTATACGGTGGGAGAAATCCAATCACAAACAAGGCCTATGACGATGTTGTAGTTTTGACTCTGCCATCATTCAACTGGACAAGTGTTTGGCCTCTAGGTGAGTCACCACGATGGGGCCACAAATGCCATGTTGCCGGAAAACGTCAGATGATCACGGTGGGCGGCAATACTCCAACCATAACATGTGATTGGGAAACGAAAGGGGTTGCAGTATGGGACATGACAGCTTTGAGATGGGGGAGTGTCTTCGCAGTCGACCGACCAGAATTTCAGGTGCCCAACCAACTGCTGGCTGCGACTGGTGGAAACGCAAATGGGAACGCTACGAAAAAGGAGCCCGCCATGGGCTGGACAGAACAAGGTCTGAAGACTGTCTTCGCAACACCAAGTAAAACCACGCCATCTTCAGGTACTACTTCTGGAAACACTACACCAGGAAACACTTCAAGTTCGCCCAGTCCTAAAAAGAAGAGCATGAAAGGAGCTATTGCAGGCGGTGCCGGTGGTGGTGTTGCAGGACTTATCATCATCGTCATCGTAGCATTCTTTCTCCGTCGTCGATACCGTAAACGCCACAGCCCCCACGAACTCCCTGACACCAGCGACCCATCCGGCCAAGGGTCATCTCTTCCAAAGAAGTACGAGCTTCATGCTGTTAACGAGAACAGTCCTGCGGAGCTCTATGGCTATGAGATAAAAGAACTAGAAACCCCCAGGCAAGCGGTTGAAGCAGATCCCATGTCATCCCCGGGAAGAGCGGAATTATCTGGCACGAATACGGCACCTGGGGCCTTGCATGGGGTTCCCATCGTGCGAACACCAGGGGACGACTTGCCGGAACGGCCAGAATATGTGGCTGGTTTGAGGAGACCGAGTCGGGAAAGGAGGAGAAGTGCATCGGTGACATCCAATGAGAGAAGCGAGGAACGAGCCGATCAGGTTGGTACGAATAATGAAAGAGAAGATAACACTGTAGACCAGAAGAGTAGGGACGTCAGAGTAGAAGATAATGATGGGGAAGAAAAGAGCAGGGATACGGAAACCACAAAGTAACAGCATTACTTGGAGTTGCCATGCATTTGAATCATGATGAGGAATTGGCATGATACGAGGTGACCGATGACCTGGCCGAAAAAAACTTATCGTCCTCTGAATACAAGTCTATGAGTCGTGTTTGCTTCTCCAGCTGTATGCAATCGAATGCTGGGAGGCTACTACCACGACTAATGAAGCCAGAAGGATACCTGAACCAAACCGAGTATATGGAATCGGGTACCCTTCCTATCGGATCAAGCTCTGCACTCGCTATCTTCATGTGTAACGGAATTGACATCCCGAGTCAAACACCAACTTCCAAAGTATTGGCCACATTTGCCTTAATGTATTCGTCAATGAGCTGCCAGAAGTGATACCGGCACATTGAAAAACACCTCTAAGAGCGCACCGCGATTTCGAAAAAAACTTCACCTTCTCGCCAAAATCAGAGACGCGCATTTGTGTTTTGTGCATTCGACGCAGTGCGGTGTTGATAAGACAAGCACACCATCCGGCGGTGGGTGTCGCGATAAAGGCAAAGGTGACGTTGGCCGATCAGAGCGCGCTTGAAGCTGATTACTTACTAGTGGCAGCCCTCTGGCTTGTCTTGCAACCTACAATACGCAACAACGCGCAGCTACCACACCTAAGTAGACACAGTATCGCATCGCTCTACCATCCGCAACCAATCTTTGAGTCAGTTTTCTGGCACTGCGTAGAGGGACAGCAACATTACAATGGCATGACGCCAGGAGTAGATGGCAACGGTTTTGTCGCCAACGTTACCTCGGAGAGGGCGTGCAAACGAGTTGACATGCGCAAACAGCAGAGGCCCTATTCGCGATCACTATCGTCCTACAATCATATTGCGCATCGTGGTCATTCTCGTTAGTCCCCTGTCAACACATCATGTCTGAGCCACAATCGCTCAGACATGTCTCCATGATTACAACCTATTTCCAGAGAGTCCCTTGATAAGTGTCTCCCCCTCATTAACTCCCGGAGGGAAGTCTGTCCCATGCTCTACATGACAATCATGTTTCTGCTTTCCAGTGGTCAAGACTATGAACTCATTACGGATAAACGGATGAAACTGAGTTATGGCAAGATTGGGGGGTGGGGGGTTGAACCTGTTATGTCGAATAAAGTTGGTCGTTTCATAATGCCATCGTGGTGTTACAGCAATCGGGGAGATTAAGGTCAAACAGCAGGATCAGTTGTCAGCGCGGTCAGTATGACACGGACAAATGCACTTCAGCAACACACATGCTTGATGAGTGGGAGAAACCAGGCGACAGGCGTAGTCACAGACCAAACAAGACCCGAAGATTTTTCTCCCGCCACGCATTGAGGCTCTTGTGCTTTCTTTCTCATCCATGTTCGTTTCATGGCTCCTGCGCGACGCCTCATTCTAGCGAACTGTCCGGTGAGTTTTTCACAAGTTGCTGTTTGAAGTCACCGCAGAAAGGTCCTGATTCGAACTACCCGTGATTGTGCTCTATCCTTAGTTCCTCAACCGGTTTCGCGTTGCTGGATAGTAAAAATAACCAAGTTGACATACACCTATGGGATGCACGCCAGCACGTTGCAAGCAATGACCTTAGTCTCGATCCCGTGCTTATCTGAAGTGGTCTTTCCGACAGGCTCGCTTGCACGAAATTAAGCTTTCGGATATACTGGCACCGATTACTAGCGCTGACGCAGGGGTGCTGTCAATGCAAAACTAGATTCCCCGCGTGTCGAGGACAAAAAAGAATGAGATCTGCACTGAAATCAGGAAAAGTGACGACTACAGTAGGTGTCGATCAGCTGTCTCCTCAGATACCCCATATGGTTCTCTATCATAAGACCTCCAAGCAGCCTGGCTGTTGTGAGCCTTTCTGTTTCCTCGCGGAATAGAAACACGACAAAGCACCGAGACTTATGTCACTCAATGCGCAGGCACTTCTTCCTAGTCGCGGTAGCAGCATTCTGGGTCGTTCTCCTGTGAAAGGGGCTAGAACCCAGGTCTTAGTATCGCGAGCGAAGGCTGACATTTGAGGAAATAAACATACACATGGGTTTCGACTTGCTGCGCAATATGCAACCGAGTCTTGATCATGGTTTTCAGAACCACATGCTGTTTAAATACTATTCCGCATCTACCGGATTGAACCTAGGAAATGAATACAAATCTTCCTTGCGTATCCTTACTGTATACCATACGTTTTTTACGATACCAGTTTTCGACTATGCGCGTCCGTCTATCGACAGCTGTCGATGATGTTACTGCCGTGGGGTGATAGGTAAGAACACGGGACGCGAAACATTGATAGATAATAATCGGCCGGTAACCAACACACAGCTGCCTGCCATAGGTTCGTCAAGCAGCAGGTATGGGTAGACCCAAGTCGAATAACGTGCACTGGAGCATGGTTTGATGCTTAACTCTGTCCATCCCGTCTGACGCACGGAGATTACCTGGCGTTACGAACCGGGCCGGTAGCCTCTTATCTAGTCAAACGCGGGGTACCCCAGGGAGGCCATACTATAACTGGAGCCCTGTGGAACCATGTTAGCCACTCTTAAGGCTTGTTGTGCCTACTTGTTCTCTGTCCAGTCAGAGACTATGGGTTCATCATCAGAGAGCGAAACCAAAATGGTCCCTATGACCGTCGACGATGGACGCGACGGACGATTCCACGTCGAAGTTGGCACTGTGGAACGCCCTCGTTCTAAGATGGCGACATTCTATCGCAGCGTCTTGTTTCAGATGATTTTATTTGGAATGTAAGTGTCAGATCATCATTACACAAAATCGACCAGCTAAATCGTTGTCAAGGCTGTCCCTGGTTGGACCAGCCATGTCAGATGCTATCACGAATCTGGGCGGCGGCGGATTGTCTACTCCTTGGCTTGCTAATCTCGGACAATCTTTGAGTTATACAATGAGTTTCTTCAGCACAATCATTGGCGGTCCCATTATCAACAAGATTGGCATCAAGTGGGCGTGTTTGATCGCAGCCATAGCCATGCCGCTCCATGGATCTGCCTACTACGTGAATGCCAGATTCAAGAACGATGCGTATCTGCTTTCAGCCAGCGTATGTTCAAACTCTGATTGCGTGAAAACACTGCTCACGCGAACAGGTGATCAAAGGATTTGCGTCTGGCTTCCTCTACGTTGGTGAAACGACAGCTATGCTGTCTTACCCACATCCAGAAGAACGAGGATTTTACTTGGGTACGAATGACCCTACTGAACGTATAGACGAATTTGACGCTGATAGAGCATAGGCATCTGGTCCGCAATGCGAAACAGTGGTAGCGTAATTGGAGGTGCCATCAACTTCTCAAATAATCATACAGACTCGAAGGCAGGAGGAATTGCATGGTCTACATACTTGATCTTCGTTAGTTTGGGTATGTCAAAGTCTCTGGTGTGATCGAAGAGGTACTAACGATGGTTAGAATGCACTGGTCTTGTATGGGCTCTTCTGCTCTCACGGACCAAGAAGGTCCGCCGCAGAGACAACAGCAAAGTGAATATTGCTCCGGCGGAGTCCTGGATGAAGGAGCTCAAGGCTCTAGCCACCTATCTGACGCAGGGGGCTGTAAGTGAAACCTGCTTCTGTCAAATATCGCAAGCTAACTCTGTATCAGACATGGCTCATCTTTTTCCCCGCTTTTTACTCTTTCTTCTATGGGGGTACCATGGGCACCTATCTGTCGCTTCACTTCTCCGTGCGTGCACGCGCTCTGTCTTCCCTCCTAGTTCGTAAGTATCCCACTCCCCATCCTTGATCTTTGCTTCGCGTATTAACAATTGCAGCTACACTTGCTATTCCAACTGTCGTATTATTCGGAAAGCTTCTGGATAACACTCGTTGGACGCAGCGGACTCGAGCATGGACTGCAATGGCAGTATGGGGAATACTACAGACCGCTTGCTTCATCTGGGTTGCGGTAGAGTACCATACTCTACCTAAGAAGACTGCTCTTGATTACAGACTGTAGGCTACACGAACTCTATTCGTTGGAATTTACACTCACTGCAACAGGGAACCCGCCCGATGGATCAGAGCCTATTTCCCTTACATCATACTCTTCATCAGCGGATACTGGACTCAGCTTACCCTGTACTGGATCCTCAGTACCCTTTCCGATGAAGTCGCAGTTGCTTCACGAGCAGGAGGTGTATTCCGTGCTTTTGAAGTTGCGGGTCAAGCAGTGTCGTACGGATTGAGTTCAGCGAAGAAGATCGACCACGCCATACCGCTCTACGTCAACATCGCCATTCTGGTCTTTACAATCCCGAGTATGTCCATGTTGATCAGGAAGATGCCCACGAGGCCGATCAGAGAAGCTGTTATAGAAGATGACGGGAATGATGATGATCTTGTGTTTGACGGTTGGGCGAAACCGAAATGAAGAAGGGCGCGTGTCGACGGGTCATGTAGATAGCAGCAAACATAGTTTGGAGCCGAGTGGTATTAGAATGTTTATATCTGATCGATGATGTTTGATTGTTGCGTAATGATCTTTTTTTCGACGGAATGGCCCTATGTATATGTGGCAACGTGCTCAAGACAAACCTGCTGTGGTGTCTTTCCACTGAGGGTTCGAAAGCGAAATTTTCACTACAAATGTTCATATGGTAGGATGCCGGATGAATCGTGGGCATGTATTGACTAGCATCGAGTACATCTATACATAGTCAAACAGCCGCAATCCCAAGCAACACATTTCTCCGAACTTTTGGCTGTAAATCTCACACGACCGCTACGTGTAATATATGTAGTGCAAACTCTACAATCTACCGGTGAATCATCTCCAAATCCCGACCCAAATACTATCGTCATCACTCTGTTGATCCCTAAGATTGCGGAACTCAAGTTGTAAAGGTTGTCAACATCCGACCCACACCGGCAATCGCTTGATGACCTCCAAGAACCCCCCAACGTCGCTGGCCAAACGCCGGGCCGGTCCCGCAAAAAAACCCCCATCGAATCACATCACGCAGCGCACCCGGTTAAAGGTTAACATGGTACATCGCCTGCCACGATATCTGTGCAGCCAGCCAAGGTACTAAACGTTACCATAATTTACAAACCCCCTCCACCCAAGCCCATCATGTCATCATCTTCACAGCGCAGTCCCAGTAGCCAATTTCCCGTGCCAAATTCCCTGCCGTCTTATTGGCGGAAACAGCCTGCTGCAATCGATAATCATCGCAGTACCACCGACCTAGTTGCTGAGGCAGACATTGTAGTCATTGGCGCTGGTTATTCCGGCGCGTCGATTGTACATCACCTGGTGGAAGAAAGTTTGCGCGCTGGCAAGGCAATTCCCTCGATAGTAATTCTCGAGGCGCGCGAGGCTTGTTCGGGGGCTACGGGGCGAAATGGTATGTACCTTGTATATTTAACTGTATTAAGAAACATAGAAAACCTTGTGGCAAGTTGCTGATAACGTTGCACGTCCAGGTGGACATCTGAAACCAGACCCTCTGTTGCGGCCAGCTGGTCTGCTAGATGGTCATGGTGCAGCCATCGCGGAGCATGTGGCGTCGTTTGAGCAGCGCCAGGTCACCGCCATCAAGGAACTCGTCGAGCGCGAGAGTATTGACTGTGACTTTGAAGAGACGACTGTAATGGACATTTGCAAGTACGCCCAAGGACGGAATAAGATGAAGGCCAGTATCGACAAGATTAGCAAAGCGGGTATTTCCACTGCAAAGATGATAAGGTTTTATGAAGGCAGGGAGGCTGAAGAGGTTTGTGCATTCTCAGACATGATTCCGGAGATATAAGCAAGGTAATTTCGGTGCTGACCGCTTAAACAGGTCTCTGGCGTGCGAGGAGCACTGTCGTGTCACACATACAGCGGTGCACGTCTTGCGCCCTACCAATTGGTGGCGCATCTTTTGCAGAAAGCGGTTACCCAAGGAGTCAACCTGCAAACGTTCACGTCCGTCGAGAGTGTCCAAGCTATCGAAGACGACACACAGAGTTACAAGTGGGCAGTCGACACTCCACGCGGAACGGTGAAGACGAAGACAGTGATCTTTGCTACAAATGGGTACACATCTGCCTTGATCCCCGAGATGAAAGGGAAAATCGTACCTGTTAGGGGCATGGTTGCACACATTACAGCACCAAATGCACCACAGCTGAAACACAGCTATATGATGCGGTTATCGGACCACGAATACGATTACATGATTCCGCGACCAGATGGCAGTGTCGTAGTGGGAGGTGGACGGCGGGACTTCTACAAGAACTTGAGTGATTGGTTTGATGTTGTTGATGATAGTAAGTTGATTGATGCTGGTAAAGACTACTATGACGGGTACATGCAGCGTCATTTTTTTGCATGGGAGAACACTGGTGCTCGTACGGAAGATTTGTGGACTGGAAGTAAGTAGTACTGTACTGCGCGCATAGCGACTGGATGACTTTGACTAACCCATTCGTTACAACAGTCATGGGATATTCCAACGACGAATTCCCGTATGTTGGTCCTGCTTGCGGACGACTGGGACAATACGTTTGCGCTGGTTTCACGGGCCACGGTATGCCGCAGATTTTCCTGTCAGCGAAAGCAGTAGCGGTGATGACTCTCACTGGAGATACGGAGAATGTTGATCTGCCTTTGCCATATCGCATTACTCCGGAGAGATGGTCTGAGCGGAAAGAGCATGCGGCTCGAGAGACTTGGGAACGAGTTCAAAAATGTGAACCTGTCCTAGCGGCAAAACTATAGACTGACGGCCAGTTGAGGTATCCTTAATGAATAGAGACACATTTGCTCAACATGCAGGTAAAGTCATTGCTTGCGTAAGGAAATTTATATTTGTTCATTATTGCTCTCTAAAGGCTATGCCTCGGCATCCCATTTAGCAGATTCTCAAACAATTCGCTTTCCACGTTGCCGCTATTGTTGACACCCGAGGTAAAGAAAGCAATGTTGCCGTCCATATTGAAAAGGTCGAGATTAAAAGGATAATCGTCGACGGGGCGACTCTCCGGAATGCAATCTGTTAGTATTTCCACGGCATGGGGAGCAGGTTGCGGGCAAAGCGGGACGCCCTGGGTCCTTATTCCTGACCCATCATTGGCTATTGGTATCGAAGTACTAGCACGGGAACGGATAGTGCCGGCTGTTTTGGTGTACCAATCCCGTAAACCCTCGTAACCATCCTGGACTATCTCTTCCCCAGTGTCAGATACACTCTGGTCACAGTCTACGTCAAAAGCCTGAAGCCTATTCAGCGCGGCTTCCAAGGTCTCGAGAAGCAACACCTCTGAACGCGCGGAGTCACCAACTGAGGCCATTTCCCGTATTGCGTTAAGGCCTTTTTGTAAGTTGCTTGAAAATTCATTGGTGCGACGGCAAATACTATACGCGATTAGGACCAGGAGTGATGCACGACAGGCACTGTATTCGGCATATGACGCTTTTGAGAGGCCCATACTACCCCTCTGCATGCTATGGCAGATGTCGATGGCTTCATTTGCAGCTGCAATACAATCTTCAATCAGGAAGTTCCAGCGCATATGTGGGGGAGTGTGCGTATCTTCAGGTTTTGCTTCCGGACGCTCTGCGGCACTGTCGTCTTTTGGGTCTTCTTTCCGCACCTGGCGGTGGGCCAGAATGAGAGGTCGTCCAATAAACATGTGTAGCAGACAACACTCCAAGTGAGCGTGAAGTCGTGCGCGGGATTCTGAATGCTCTACACGGTCTCCCATCAAAGGTGATGATATATCACGATAGCGAAACACCCATGGCCGCGGTAACTTAGTCTTCATTTGCTTGAGGCGGTCCATGATTAGCCAAGCTTCTTGTCTTGGACATGTTCGGAGTTGGGAGCTGGTAGTATCGTCAATCATTGGCATTTTTTTCACGACAGCTTTATCGTAGAATGAACTTACATCTGGTACAAGAATGCCTCTGCCTGGCAGGTCAGATCAATGGATTCGAGCAATCCAGTTGCATCAAAAGTATCGCCATCGATGCTGTTTGGGGTGGAACTGCTTGGAAGATCGCAGTCAATGTCGGAGCGTGAGATAGATGCGGGGCGGCCATGATATATGCCAATTTTCCTACACGTGCATGACTGTAAGCACAAGTATCGCGATCACCCTCCAAACATACGGACCTTTCCATACAATATACCGTCCACCAAATGCGCCGTCTGATCTCCTTTGATCTTGCATCGAAAGCGCCCCGCGAGATTCTTCGATGCATACCATTCTGGATGGCCACTTTGACAGCTAGGTTCAGATAGATGTAGCCCAGTCCAGATGCGTCGATCGGCAAGGAGTAAAAGCCGAGCAAAAGAAATGCCTGCACGCTCAATAGAGAACCAGCATGTATGAGCTCAGAAATGGACTTGGCTACTTGGCGGTAGAAGGTAGAGCCGACGTCCAGCTCCCAATTAGCAGGGGCATCAGAGCCAATTGAAGATCTGCGTCCACGTTTGCTATTTGGATTTGATGTTTCCAAGTGCACATATTGAGTGCTTACTGCAAGGACCATCAACACTACGCAGGCGGCAGGGACATGCTTGGAACGTAAGCGTGTCGAGTTTGTCTGAAGATCCTCTAGAGTTTCTTTGACCCAATGCTTGTCGACGTAGTAGTAAAAGCTAGTAGCATGTCTGAAGAACACATTGACCAAAAAGGTAGCTACTGGACGAGGAGGAATGAGGGCAACAATGTCTGAAATAGACGTCGAACCAGGATCAGGTTCGGGAACGCGGAAGAAATCTGGTACGCGTTTGACATCCTCCAAAGTCTGCCAACACCATAAGTACGTACTTTTACGATGAGGAGTCTAAAATGCGAACGAAGGCGTACACTCACACCTACCTGGACACTAGATTTGGCGATTAGTTCATCAATGTTTCGTTTGATGTGCATGGAAAAGTTCCAATGTGAGAATTCACCAGAGTAATCTGCCACCACGTACAAGCTTTGGATCAGTATGGTGCATCTTGGCTGGAGCTTGGTAGTAACATACGAGCTGTAGTATCATCAACATATTCAACAGTGCACTTCTCGTCTTCAATTCCAGGACTGTCGGACGCTGACGGGTGTGCAGTATTTTCTACGGGCAAGCCAGATGTGCCGTGTTGGTCGGAGCCAGGTGACCAAGCGGGGAATGACTCGCACGTGCGCCGTAATGTGTCGATATCCAAGGGCAGTTGTGGAAGATGGTGATGGAGAATGGCTTCCATGTACTTCACGCGCTCCTTGAGGTCCTTGGACGAGACCATGGGCTCTTGTACGCGTTTGGCAGTTGGTGCAGAGGCATTGTTGAATTCACATGTCCGTCGTAAATGGCGACAACGTTTACATGGCATGCCGCCCTCACATTTTTCTTTCAAGCGACGACATTCGTCACAACTAGTTTGGGCAAGTCAGCGCTGATCCTGGTCGCAGCTGGGAACACAAGGCAAGAGGCGGGTGTGGTCTCACGCTCGCACCGCCCGTTGTCGTTCTCCGGCCGCCAGTTGACGCTTCTTGGTGGGCCTTGGGTTCTCGAGCTCCATACTGGACCGGGAGCGTTGTAAGGTGGGTAATGGAAGTTGGGTCGTCGTGCAACCGGCACGGTCAGTGAATATAGCCGGCACGGTTGGATTGACGTGGTTGGCCGTTCTGACCGGCCCGGTTGTGCACTATTGCGCACGTGACTTGCTCAAGTGCCGATGGTGTGTAGTAGTATTTCATGTACATCAACGTGGAATTGATAGATAACGGGCAATCAGTGTGAGGGGTTATGACAAATAGTCTGGATGATCGGGAGGGTTATCCATCTCTTCGTGATCAGCGCGTCCAATGGCTCTGCTAGAGGGATATCTTGTCAATCCAACCAACCCTCCCGTATAGGGATGATAGCCGAGCGGACATCCAAGCCTGGGCGAGTAGCAGTGGTGGCTAGCCGAGCATCCCCTACTTTTCTCAAGACTAAGAACTAACCACGCTTGTCTTGGTCTTGCTTAGTAGACCCGCGACCCCACACTCTTCCACGATGGACCCTAGCAGCCATACCTTTCACCGCGCGTCCAATGTCGATGTTTGCGCCCTTTGACATCAATCTTGATGAGGCCGTCTAGTCCTTATTATCAAGTGGCCAATTGTGGTAGCTGTAGCCCTTGTTACCTCGAGCTTTCCGATTGCCATGTCTATGCGCAAACACGCTGCTGGCCCATGATCATCAAGCCGTCTCTACTCCTAGACGGCACAGAATGCCCTGGTACTCATTCAATTAGTGCAGCCAGCTGGCTTTTTCGACGGCGTCTGGAAAATTCTGGAGACAGGAAGTCAGCACACGACAAAGCTTAGCGTGGCTCCGTGCAAGCATGACCTGGTACGGAAAAGGGCCTTTACGGGGAGCGCCGCTATTGGGGGCCTGATCACAAGACATTGCAGGTTGTGGTATGAAGAAGGCAACTATGGCTCGTAGTTAGATACTACTATGGAATCGTTGACGACCTCATGGGATAGTGAGAAGTAGGAGGGGTGTCCAGAATATTAAAGCCAAGGGTAATGCCCAGAAGCAGCCGTAATTGGAACGAGACCAGCTTCCTCACGTTTTCATGGCTGTCTTTCGATGAACTGCTAACGATGTCCAAGCAAGAAACCCTGAGCATTCTCTAATGACGATCGGAGATATCAATCAACTGAATTATGGCAAGGACGTTGCGATGAAGGAAGATCTGATAACGAAGATGAGTGCCTTGACACTAGCGCCTAGGCGGGCGCAATACCCCATACAGTTACTATTTTAGGCGAGCCCCGATGTTAGCAACCTGTAGTAATGCAGGGACGATATGAATATATGACTGATCTCAAACCTTGAGTCGAGTGAGATGTTTTGTTTAGATTACCTGAGTACCTAGATGGTTCATGGTAGACTGGGCGTGAGACAGCACTGACAATGTCCTCACCGCCTTGTAGCAAGGAAATCTTGTAGTCGTTGAGCGATGAAATCAAGTCGTCAAGCAAGATATGTCTTCGTGATTTTAAGCTATTCAAAATGTTTTGAAAACTCAATTTTTTTTCTTGTTCGAATCATTTCACCCCGACTTCTCCACAATCACCCTAGCCAACCCCACCATACTATCCTCCACAACCTCAATCTTCGCCTCTGTAAAAACATCCAGACAAGCGTCCTTCTCATATACCGTCGTAAACGCGCCTCGAAACCCCACTTTGGTCGCCGCAGTCACATCCCACATGTGACCCGCCGCAAACCACTTGACATCGTTTTCGCCTAGCCGATCCCACATGACGCGGTACGCCGCGAGCGCTGGTTTCGCTACACCAACAGAATCGCAGCTAACGAGATTCTCAAGCGGCATGTGCAAGTTCGCGCGCTCGAAGTATCCGCTTACGCGCTTGACGTCGCCGGTGGTAAGTGCCCAGATAGTAAATCCGTTATCCCGTAGTATCTGGAACATTTCGTGGCAACCTGGTCGCATCTTGAGCGCCGAGTAGCCCTCTACACATCTATCTCTTTCTTCATTTGTGAAGATGGATTTTGGGTTTTGGACGCCGCAGAGGCTGAGGGTGCGGTAGAAGAAGCCGGAGAGTAATTCTTTGTAGGGCTTGTAGCCGCCGTGGATGGAGAAGAAGGTGAATTCGATTTCTGCGGATGTTTGCCAGGTGAAGCCAAAGTGCTGGGCGGTTATAGTGTGTTGGCGGAGTTTGGCCCCGATTGTGGAGTCGATTGCTTCGTAGAAGGCGTCGAAGGAGACGCATGTACCTACGACGTCGAAAACAACGTGTTTTTTGGGCGAAGACATGTTTCTTTGTTTCCTCCTTTTTCACAATTTGTTTGGCTGTCTCTTGCAAGGCGGGGTTGATGACGACTTGGGAAGGGAGGGATAGCAATCGAGGGGGGTTAAAATGTGGGACTGGAAAGTTAGACTCAAGATGAATACGAATTTAATAATGCTGTAAACATGAGTCTACGTGTCCGAATAATCTGATGCCGGCCACCCGGTCACAGCTCGTGACAGAGTGGTGCACGAGCTTTGACAAGAGACCCCGCTGCTTATCAGATGCCGGGCCGGTAATCGGACCATCATCTCCCCATGGTGAACCGGTGCAATCACCGGCCGGTACAAGAGTACTCTCATGGACAGATCTTTTGAAGTCTTGAAATAAGTGAGGCTAGCACCACGTGCATGTTCCCTGCCTGTAAGCCAAGTCTACAACCTCTTGTCTAAACAATTGAATAGTACTAGCAGTACTACTACGTAACAATGGTCCTGCCCAAGCCCAACCCCACAAAATCATACTGGATCGAGGCCGCCGAGTCGCCCTTGCGTGACTACCGATCCAGCGAGACGCTCCCAGAAGAAACTGATGTCGCGATAATTGGCAGTGGCTACGCCGGAGTCTCAACCGCCTATTGGCTCCACAAAGTATGTCACGCATCCACACCCACGAGTGGTTCCCCAATCGCTTGCAATTCCAAGCCCCTTGTCCTGACATGCCGGCCACCGTTTTTTTTAGTACACAGAACATGCATCCAAGCAGCCGCGAGTGACGATCCTAGAAGCACGCGATGTATGTGGCGCTGCTACTGGGCGAAATGGTAAGTCGGTTGCGCACGTGATATCCAAATACACCCACTACTACTGCAGTTGAATACTAACGGAAAATGAACTAAAAATAGGAGGACAGTTACGACCGCATCTTTACTCTCGATATCCCCTATGGCGCGACCGCTTCGGCGCAGCAGGCGCCATGCACCTGATCCGCCACGAACACGCGCATCTCTCCGCATTCAAAGAACTTTGCGACGCAGAAGGCATTACAGAGGAAGTATGCTTGAAACTCGGGGAGACCTTTGACGCCGCCATGACAGACGAAGCGTGGTCACGGCTCAGCCATGCACTGGATGAAGTGCGCAAAGACCATGGTGACGAAAACGAAATAGTAAAAATATGCCGCAAGATTGAAGATCAGGCTGAAGTAGAAGAAGTGACGCAGATGAAAGGAGCGTTGAAAGCGATTGTGCATCCCACGGGACAAATGTATCCCTTCTCTTCATCTATGCCATCCTCAGAAATATAAAAAAGCTAACCCTGCATATAGATGGCCCTACAAATTCATCCACGCCCTCCTGCGCATCCTCCTCGCAACCCCAAACTTCACCCTTTATTCCCACACCCCCGTCACCACCGTCTCGGAGCGAGATTCCACGGGCTACATCACCATCAGCACCGCCCGCGGCGCACTCCGCGCAAAGACAGTAGTCCACGCCACATGCCGCTGGGCCTCGCACTTACTCCCAGAATTCGAGCGGCTAATCTTACCGCAACTAGGCGCGATAGCAGCGATTAAGGCGCCACCGGGGTTTTTGAAAAGGACGGGGGCACAGCAGTGGGATGGGATGGTGAATGCAAGTCTCATCCTTTTTCCTTTGCCTTATTCTCGAGTGTGAGAGATGCTGATGATGAGAAATCCAGAACTACCACGTCCAACTCCCACCCCCTTACAACGTCATCATCATAGGCGGCGCACGCCAATTACTCTGCCATTACCCTGAAATCAGTATTTTGAACGATGAAGACGATAAGCAAGCGCCGGGTGTGCCGGATTTCTACAAGACGTGGCCGGCGGCGGAGATAGTGGATTGGCCGGGACCGAAAGTTGCGGAGTTGGGATTTGATGTTGAGAAAGGGGGGAGTTGGACTGGGGGTAAGTTTTTTTGTTGGAAAAAGAAAGGGTATCAAAGATATCAGGAAAACTAATCCAATGGTTTGTAGCCCACGAAACAAGCGCAGATGGCTTCCCATTTGTCGGCGCGCTGCCATCTCGCAGCAATCAATTCATCAATGCCGGATACACAGGACATGGTACGTCTCTATTCCTTATATACTAGTTGACAAAAGACATTTGTCTAACTCGCAGTTCAAAGGAATGCCTCGCATCCTCCTGTCTTCAGCATCCCTTGCACCGCTCGTGCTCGACGCTCTGGGGCTTCAGTACAGCCCACCGCAGCTCGCAGCTTCGTATCCTGCGCTACCTCAGCCATTCCACGCCACTGAATACCGCATTGCCAAGCTCCAGGATACTAATCCCGAAAAGGTGCTTGCCGACTACAGGGTTCAGTGTGAAGCCAGTGCGCGGAAGCCTTTTTGTAATATAGACAGAGTAAAGGGAATCCAGTCAAGCCCTCATCTTTAGAAAGGCTAGCAGGGGAATGTAATATCAATCAAGACAGTACGTCGACGTGCCCAAGCTAGAGTGTGACTGTGCTGTGCTATACTTTACCGAGGATCATGTGGCTGTCTACTGGGTACTGAAGGCGACATGTGATGTTCCAGAGCCAAGGTAGTGTGCTCGTAATGGCTCCAGGTAGTTGCAATTGTGCTACCAACCTCGGGTTTGGAAGATATACGTGATGACGGTGATGCCAGAATGTACCAGTAGGGAGAGAATGCTGGCCGTCCGTCTATCACCATGTTTGCAGGTGGTTGGATTGTACCCCATATGCAAGAAGTAGCTGTGGAGGACATATCAATAGTACGACGTTTCTCTCTCACGTGCGAAAGGGCTTGCGGGCGTAAACAACGGTTCCAGGAAGGTATGCATGGGTTTTGTAGCTCTTGAGCTCCTTGCGCATCTGGGCTAGGTGTAGCTGGGCTCGCGCGACTGACCACTGCACACGGTTAGTAGGCAGTAGGAAGGCCATTGCTATTGTGCAATACTTACGCCGCCGACTTGAGTCAGTAACCGCAGCATAAATCCCTCGACTCCGTCCATGAGGCGTAGCTGATTCCATCTGCCAATGTTCTTCAGTTTCTTGTCCGTAGGCCAACCGTTCATTGGCCACTTGAAGTCGACGACGGTGACATCGACGAAGCCGGCCCTCCGTATTCTCTCTGCGCTCTCTTCCCAAATGGTAAAGCTCTTGCCAAACTTGTCTCCCATCTCGACCACGACCTTGCCCCAGGTATGGTAAAAGTGGTCCGGACTCATGGAATCATCGTCGGCAACGGGGCACACTGAGTGCTCTACTATCTCGACCCAGCCGCCGGGTTTGATATGGCGATAGGCCTGGGCGAAGAAAAAGTCCCAGTCCGGGATGCAGCCAAACAGCTCGCGAATGTGGACAAAGTCAAAGTGGTTTGGGGGAAAGGTCCATTCTAAGGAAACATCGTCAATTTCAAAATGGCAGTTTGGCGGGACCCACTCGGGCTGGATGGGTGAGAGATCAGTGCCGGTGACGGTGGCTGAGGGATACTGGTCTGCCATGTCCTGGTCGCGTTAGTGGGATTTAGGCAAAATGCGCGTGTGGTGTGGTGCTCACAATGGCCCATATGCCGGTGCCGGTGCCGCAGTCGAGGATAGCCTGGGGATTCTGCAGAGGGGCCAGATGCAGTTTCTGGTCAAGGGTCAGGAGGTACATGTGGTGGGCAAAGTCGAGGATCTCCTTTGCCAGCTCGTCGTTGGGGCCCCAGTATGCGCCGTCGCGGTAGGCATGGTACTGGCGGCCGTTTTCCATGCGGTGGTTGAGGATAGACGAGGCAAGCGAGTCGGTACCATCGCCCAAGAGGCTGCCGCTATCGAAGCCCGAGTCCGACGAGGAGCCTGCTAATCCTTCGTCGTCGTCTGTCACGGTGTCGGACGTGTGCGACGTGGGGTAGGGCGAAGCAGGGGCAGTTTGCGGGGAATGGGGCGTGTCTTGCAAGTGCATGGCGCTGTCCTGAGGGTGGAGATGGATGCCGGCAGCCTGCGCGGGCTTGTGCGGGCTGGACGGGGCCATTGCCAGAGAGAGAAGGGGAGTGTGGGTTGGTGTTGGTTGGACAGTGAGAGAAAGTGTGTGTGTGTGTGTGTGTGTGTGCGTGCGCGTGTGTGTCCTGGGGAATGGCGGGCCGAGGGGTGTGGTTACATATTAGCAAAGGCAGTACTCGGGAGTATGACTAGGCAATTGAGCAGCAGGGGGCGTATCTGTCGTGTCGAGGTACTCGAGTCGAGGGAAATACACTTGATGCAAAGGAATGGCATTGGTCCGTTTTTTTTGCTCGTGAACTGTCGTGTCTTAGGCCGAGGCGTGGGACATGGGGTGTGTGTCGAGGGCTGGATGATGGAGGGCGAGGGTCCGGATTGGCGTAGAAACTCCCCGGGGCGATCCTGCACCGGACTCGCCCTCCGCCGCGTGTGAGTGGGTGAAAGGGTGAAAGGCAGGCCAACAGACGCCGTGCGCATATTGCAACCTCCAACACCTCGTCCAAACAAGGCCACACTAGTCAAGTCGCCCCGGGCAAAGCTTGTTAGCCGCGGCATGCAATAGAAGACGACGGGGGTGGGCTGTGGTTCCATTCGGTCCGCGCGGCTGTTGCAGGCGGTGGCCTGATACGTAGCGTTGGGGTCGAGTTTGCCGGTGCCGGTGCAGAAGTTTATCCTCGTCGTTCTGGAACTGCGAATTGGAAGAGTCGTATCTTTTGGGCGACATTGGACGATATCATGGGGGAAGCATATACCAGCGGTACTGCAGAAGCAGCAGCAGTAACAACAGCCGCCGCACACAGCGATGCGCACAACCGAGTCCTTATAATTGGTGCCGGTACGCCCCATGACGCCGCCTCAACGGCAGTGCAGCAACAGCAGCACGCTACATATGTAAACGCGCCTCTTCTTACTGATTCGCAGGAATAACGGGCCTGGCGCTTGCCCAAGGTCTTTCCAAGGTACGTACAGTACTCAGACGTGTACTTGTCGTGTTCGCAGCCAGCCTCGTGCTGCTCGACTGTACTTACTACTAGTATACTACGCATGAACATATAGTACATCCCGGCTGTATATTAGTGCTGACAGCGCCCACCAGGCCGGCATCGCGTGCACCGTCTTCGAGAAGACCAGCGCCGCTCATGGCGATCGCGACTGGAACATGGGCTTGCACTGGGGGGCCCCAGTGCTGCAGAGCCTCATGCCACGTGGCTGGTGGGAGCAGTACGTCCAGAGCCTCCAGGTCGACCCCAACGAACCCACCAAACCCCTCGACACCCTCAAATGGCTCCGCGGTGACACCGGCGAACTCGTGGCCGCCATCACCTTTGGACCCTTCTACCGCCTGCGACGGAGCAAGCTGCGTCAGCTCTTGTCCCGCGACATCGACATCCGCTACAACTTTCCGCTGCACGCCATCTCATATCCCCCAGATGGCCACTCCGTCACCGCTCACTTTGCCGACGGTTCCACTGCCACGGGTTCCATTCTCGTCGGCGCCGACGGCGCTCACTCTGCCACCCGCAACATCCTGCTTGGCCCCCAGCTAGGCGCCATCAACCCCATTCCCTATGCCGCCACCTTCGTCCAGTCCACCTTCACTAGGGAGCAGGCTCTTCACCTGAGGTCCTTTCACCCCCTCTATCTGGCCTCTGCCCACCCCAACAACTACTTTGCCTTTTTTGGCATGCAACATGCTCCAGATGTAAATGACCCCTCGTCCTGGACCTTCTTCTTCTACATCTCGTGGCGTAGCAGCTTAGAAGAGCAAGAAGCCACCAAGCACTGGACGAGCGCTCAACGCCTCGCCCAGCAGAAAGAACTCGCCAAGCAGTTTTGCGACCCCTGGAAAAGCGCCCTGGAATGGACCCCCGACGACACGCCCGTATGGTATCTTGGTCTTACCGAGTGGGATCCTAGCCTGGATGGTCATCGCTGGGACAATCACAACGGACGTGTCACCATGGCCGGCGACGCTGTTCACCCCATGACGTATCAGCGCGGACAAGGTCTCAACCACTCCGTCACAGACGCAGGGAAGCTGTGTGACGCCATCATCAGAATACACGCTGGTGACGATCGGAAAGCTGCCATCACTGCCTATGAAGAGGAAATGATCAAGCGTGGAGGCGCAGAGGTCCGCGACTGCACAGCAAACACCGCCATGTTGCACGACTGGGAGCGTGTCCGCCAGAGCCCTCTTTTCACAAAGGGCTTGAACAAGACTCACATTTAGACTGCCACCCGTCCATTTTCTTATTTTCTCTTGCCAGTGACATTGCACTTCTCTTTGCCGGTTACATGAACGCTCTGCAAACTTCATGTGAACACTATAGTAACATAACCACTCTCGTTTGTCATACGACAGAGTGAGATGCGACAGTCTCGTAGCAGATACTACTGCCTAATTTATCTCCCCGTATTCAACCCATTCCACTCACTTTGCCATCTCAAGCAACCTGGGCACCAGTTGCTTCTCCATCATCATTGTGAACATGCAGGCTTCATCTGGCTTTCCTCCTGACGAAACCACAGCATACATCATCGCAACTCCAGTAGTCTTCGTCACATCCCACAAACCGTTCTATGGCCTGACTTTCGCAAAGCCAAAGTCAAGGCCACTCACATCAGCCACGCGGCGATCTGTCACAAACATGCTCATCGGTGGATACGCGTCAGTAGTGTGCGCTAATGCTCGTTGATCTTCAATGGGCGCAATGGCATCAATCAGCCTAAGACAATATTGTTCACTACAGTTTTCAGTCAACTGCCGAATATGGACTGCCAGCGTTGAGAGGGGTACATCCACAATTTCTCCAGCCATGAGCATTGGGAGAAGCGCCATTTCCGAAAACGCTCCAGCAATGACGTTACGCATCGTGCGCTCAGGCATGAGAAGTACTTAGGCGAGGCCGCATGTTGATGGCTTCATCCAGCTAAGGTTTACTACCAACATCAATTCAGTAGTGAGGAGCTCGCACACGCGACAGCATTCACCAGATATGCAGCGTCTCATGGTGGGAAACTCGCCGACTTGACGAACGAGAGACCAAATCCTCCGTCTGCCTCAATGGTGCCACACATGTGTCTTGCCTGGCTAAGTGTCCTTTCATGCCTTGCTCGGATAGCATCGACTGCTTCATCCTTATTGGCATCTTTTAGACGAAAAAGGATTGCATAGCGACTATAGGCACAGTTCAATGTGAAGTCGATAATGGAAAGCTTAGATCGTTCCTCTTCTGCGTCATGTTCCCACCCAGAGGGGTACAGCTGGAAACCCTGGCAAGACGACATGTTCATAATACGATCTCTCCAACGGCAATGACGGCAAATAGCCAATGATACAGAGCTAACGAATTTTCTCTTAGATTCAGGCTATGGCCAAACCCCTCAAGTCTCATTGTTGGTACCTGTAGGGCCTTGTTGACCCCCACAACCCGGGCCGTAGTTGTGGATTTGCCGTGCATGGTACCGTGAGATTAGGGAATCCGCTATCATGAGGCTTGCGTTGGCAATTTTTAGCATGCCTCGTTTTCCCCATGCACGGAAAATAGTCTGGAGTGACTTCCGAGGGCTACAGCGTCTCACTCCAAACCAATTGGATTGATTACCAAACACAGTACTTGAACTCGTCTTTTATCTCGAGCCATTGCTCCACGCCTTATTTCGCCCTAAGCAACGACTGCCAGCTTTAATCTGTCAAAATGCCATCTCTCATTGTCGTCGCCCTGGGGCTTCTCCTATGTATTCAGCTCTGGAGGAAGCTGCGAGACAACAGCAACAATCTTCCACCGGAACCAAAAGGGTTCCCTATCATTGGCAATGTTACAGGTGAGCCTCCTGACAACATTCCCGAATATGAACACTAGCTCCAGTTCAAGATCGCTTACGATCCCGTAAGCTCCGTGAGAATGCTTGGACAACCCATCATCCTTCTCCACGACCGTGATACGATACGCGACATCTTGACCAAGTCTTCAAAAATAGCCTCATCTCGACCCTCATTCACTTTTGCAGACATGTGCGGATTTGGGGGGCTACTGAACCTTCTGTCGTTCAATTCCACTTACTTGCTACATCGCAAAATGATCCACAAACATTTTGGCACAAAGCTCATGGCCGAACATTTGAAGGAAGCTGAGAACCTTGAATCTCACCGCTTTCTTTGAAACTCTCTTAAAGACCCATCTGGCTTGTTCAAGCACGTTAAGTCGTAAGTCTAGCCAGACATTCATCAATGCTCTGATCTCTGCTAACCAGCCCCGCCTCTGCAGCGAAGCGAGCGCCGTCATTCTTCGCATCACGTATGGTTATTGCATCACTCCAAGCTGCCTCGACCCATTGGTCCATATGATCGAAGAAACAGTGGATGTATTTGGTTAGGCATCTGATCTATAGGCATGAGCAGTCAATACATTTTCTTTTCTCAAACATCTTCCCGAGGGCCTCCCAGGCACGTCGTTCAAGCAGACAGCTTGAGACTGGAACAAGTCACTCAACAAAACGCTCAACACTCCCTACGACTATGTGCGCAAGTAGACGGCCAGAGGGACTCACAGACTGTCCTATGTCTCATCACTGATTGAGCAGAAGAAGGAAGCGGCGGAAAAGGCAGGCAACGTTGACGCAAACAGAAGATGTCATGAAGAAGACAGCTGTTGTCATGTATGATGGCCAGTTCGTTGATGTATCCAGTCATTTGCTGTGTTTGCTGTAAGTTTCTCATCCCTTCTAACCAGCACTACGAACTGGATATTGAAAGATCCCTCACTAACTTGTACGTGCTTTAGGACAACGCTTTTGACAAGATGATTGCAGAGCAGTGGCATCAAGCTGTAGACGTCAAAGTAAAAGGAAGCCAAAACCTTCGACTTCTTCATCATGCTATCCTCTCTAGTCGGCAACATCGGCATGAGCGGCCAGGTAAACTACTGCGCAGGTAACTTTTACCAAAACGCCATGGAGGTGAAGGGGGTGGAGAAGGTTGAGGGAGCTTAGATTTGATTAGCGCTTCCTCTTGAAGTACTCCCTAGAAAGTGGCAACATGTAACAAAAATTCATTGATATTAGAAATCTAACTTATGCTATCTAAGGGGCAGTGAAATCAATGTCACGTGTATTGCCGCGGACTTAACACTAAAGCCCGGGAACCCCTCAATCGCGCCGCGCTGCGCTACGAAAGATGCCTCGGATGTCGTTCTCCAGCACAATGTCGCCGGCGATGCTCGGTTCGGAGCGCGTTGGCGTCGCGACAACGATTGCCGAAACCCAGCGGTGTCCTTTGTCTTTACCAATCAAAATTTCTCCATACTTGTCGGATATTTCATTGTCGAAATTACGCACACATCGCGCCAAATCTTCCCAAACCCCCACGCAACCGCCATGACGTCTCCCGCTGAATTCACAGGATGGCTGGGTCATGACAAGAGCGCCGCCCAAGGGAAAATGACCTGGTCTTCCTTTAAGCCGAAACCCTTCAACGATATTGATGTCGATATCAAGGTCTCGCATTGCGGTATATGCGGGAGCGACATTCACACGCTGCGCTCTGGCTGGGGCACTACGCACTATCCCACATGCGTCGGACATGAGATTGTTGGTCACGTCGTTCGCATTGGAGAAAAAGTCAAGAATCTCAATTTGGGCGACCGGGTTGGTGTAGGTGCCCAGGCCTTTAGCTGTCTAAGAGACAATTGCGAGGAATGCAGCGCAGGCATCGAGCAGCATTGTACCAAGATGGTATCCACGTACAACTCAAAGTACCCGGACGGTAGCTGGAGCATGGGCGGTTACGCCGACTATGTTCGTGTGCCGGCGCATTTTGCTATCAGGATACCCGCAGGACTTAGGAGTGAGGACGCGGCGCCTATGATGTGTGGAGGCATCACCGTGTATGCGCCGCTCAAGAACAATGGCGCAGGGCCTGGCAAGAGAGTTGGAATAATTGGTATTGGTGGCCTTGGTCACTTTGGTTTATTGTTTGCGAAAGCGCTAGGCTGTCAAGAAGTCGTAGCCATCAGCCGAAAGAGGAATAAGGTTGAAGATGCAAAGGCAATGGGCGCAACAAATTATATTGCGACTTCTGAGGACGAAAAATGGGCAAGGAAACATAGCAGAAGTCTCGATCTTATCATCAGCACTGTGTCATCTCCAGATATGCCTTTAGAGTCCTATCTCCGACTACTGCGTACAGGCGGCTCTTTCATTCAGGTCGGTGCCCCAGAAGACAAGCTTCCTCCAATCACTGCATTTGGCTTGATTGGCAAAGGTTGCAAAATTGGTGGAAGCCAGATTGGCAGTCCCAGGGATATTGAAGAGATGCTGAAGTTTGCTGCGGAGAAGGGGGTCAAGCCGTGGGTGCAGAAGCGCAACATGAAGGATGCAAACCAGGCTGTGGTCGATATGGAAGACGGACATGCCAGGTACCGATACGTACTGGTGAATGCCGATCACGGGGATCGCGCAAAGATGTGAAGATGTCCTCGCGTCATCAAGGCCAGTTTCACAGCACTCCAGTATGCATTATTACATTTGACATTTTGAATGTACAGATTTTGTAAATTCATCTGCGATCGCTCACACGGTTCATTCTCACAGTGTATACAATTCTATAGATTACTTGTATAAATACTGGCTTACTCGACCTTTGCCTAACTTGAGCGCCAGACACTTACCTGCCGTCTACTAAATCATCTGGTCACAGAGCCCTACTCCTACATTCTACGACTAAAACTGAACAGATCTTCGACCACCATGCCACTGTTCTCGAAGAAGCCAGGCCCACCCCTTTCTGGCGGCCTTAAACCAGGTCATGGCAATTTCCGTATCTGCTTTGTTGTCACCGATCAGGTTATAAAAAAAATCCGCGTACAGCAAAAACTACTCAAAACCAACGCCCCCGTCGTCGAGCTCCGCGGGAGACAACGAGCCATAGGAAACAGCCTCAGATACCGCATCATCGGAGAGACACACTTCTGCCCCATCCGCCGCCGCCACCCCGGTGAGCCATGGCTCGACGGAATCCTCGAGTGCTGGAGAGCCTTTAAAAAGCTCCACGACGAGGAGTTTTCCGTCAACAAATACGACCACTGCGACGAAGCCATCGAGCGCAAATACTTAAACATGCATGCCCCGATCTACGAGCGCCTGCTTCCCTTCTTAGAGCGCTTGTTCAAAGAAATCGGCATCTGGAAGTTCGGAGGTGAAGCGGAGTGGGCAGCCCAGAATCGGCAAATTGAACCCATTGGAAAACATGCGGAAAAGAAAGTTAAATTTGACAAGCGTGTAGATGGTTGGTATTATAATGATGCGGATATGCCGTGTACGACGGGTAAAGGGGATGACGAGGAGTCGTGGAAGACAGCGGCGTTTAAGGAGAAGTTGGCGGGGGATAGATGTTCGGAGGATGTTCTCAGGAAGAGGATCCAGGAGAGGACGAGGAAGGGGTTGTGGAGTGGTATGGTGGAGAATTGGAAGGAGGGGGATGACGAGGACGAAGAAGAAGAAGAAGAAGAAGAAGAAGAAGAAGAAGAGGAGGAGGAGGAGGAGGAAATGGAAAAGATGAAGGTTGCAGTGCAGGAGTGGAATTTGCTTGATTAGATTCACCTGTGGGATGCCATGGTTTCTGAAGGTGGGAATTCTTGGGTATTCATGATACAAGATTAACTATTACAAATGAAAATATAGAAAACTGCTCAGGGGGGTCCTGAGAAGATTGAATCTCTGCATCTTATCGTCGTGTAGACTTTGCTCGGTTTGTTAAACCAATAGTTTCGTGTTTCCCATTCTCTGTCCGGATCTGAAAGTTGGAGGTCAAATGAGCGAAGGAGCGACGGAATGACTTTGTACATCTCACAGAGCGAAATCTGTCTAAGTTAGCAATATTGCACGAATATCTAAGGAAGTGAAACTTACATTCTTGCCAATACAAGTTCTTGAGCCACCACCAAACTATTCACAATGTCAGCCCGCAATGTTCGCGATAGTGAGGAAAGGGGAAAACTGACCTGAAACATACACCTCTCCATCTTCGCCGCATTAGGCCTAAACCACCGCTCCGGCACAAATTCATCTGCGTCGTGCCCAAAAACGCCCCGATCCCGCTGCACGACCGCGGCATTAATACCCACGCGCGTCCCTTCGGGAAACCATTGTCCTGCAATAACGCAACCACCTCGAGGGACATGACGAGGCAACGTCATACCAACACTAGGATGCAACCGCATCCCCTCCTTACAGCACGCCATGAGATACGACAGCCCCACCGCCTCATGGTACTGGATATCCTGGCTAAGCAACCCAGCTTGCTCCGCCTCATCGATTTCTGCCGTGAGTCTGGCGTATGCGGACGGCGTGCGCATGAGGTGGTATAAAATCGCAGTTATCGCTGCAGCAGTAGTATCGGAGCCCGCGATACTATCTCCAATCAGTCACTTTCGCCTCTTTGACCAAGCAGAAAATTAAATGAGTGTATGTGAACTTACAAAGCCCCATACGCCTCCATCTTCACCTCGGTAATCCCGAAATCCTTCTCTTGTCCCTTCTCCTGCATAATCTCAAAGAAACTCTGCAGCATATCCTCGCACTCTTCTGCTTTACCCTGAGCAATGAGATGTTGGCGCTGCACCACACACGCTCCAGACGCAGACTCGATGTGCTTGAGTGCTTTGAGTGCTTTGAAGACGCGGGGGATGGCGGCGCCGCTGAAGAGGACGAGGGGGCGTAGGTAGGTGGGTGCGGCGCAGGCGACTGCGATGAAGGGGATGAGGAGGTCGAGGGCGTGGATGTAGCCGGCGTGGTCGTAGGCATTTTGCAGGAAGCCGAACGGGTGGCTGAAGAAGAGTTTGCCGATTACGTCGAAGGCGTACCTTTTTTTTTTGCAGTGAGTTTTGCGGGATTGCGAGGGGAGAAGAGGGTGAGCATACCATTGTACCCATTCTGACATGTCGATGATTGAACCTTTCATAGCGCGGTCTGTGAATTTGGCTATGAGTAGTTGCACGCATTTGTCGATATCTTCTTCGAGTTGCACAATGTTGGACATGGAGTAGACTGAATTGACAATTCTGCGCCTCTCGGCATGCTGGCGCTCATCTAGGTTGGTAAAGGCGTCTGGGTATCTGGCCCAGTCTGCTCGGAAAGGGAGATAGAAGTCGGTCTATATGATTTAGTACAGTTTCTATGCGATGAGATGAAGCTGGGGTGTTTACCTTCGTAAAGCCGGATTGAGCAGAATAGATAGTTCGGATGGCTTCTGGGTCCGCTATGGCGACTTCATTTGGGGCTATCCGAACAATAGGTCCTACCACTATCAGTCATGATGGATTTTTGACGATCGGTGATGCGATGTTACCATATTTCTCGTGCAATTGCCGTTGTGTCTTGTCGGAACTACCCTGTGCCACATTGATGATATGCCAAAGACGAGTTATGGAGGCAAAAAACGGTCCAGGATATTTGGCTAGTGGATGGAAACACCTAGCATAAACGATCCACGCGAGGGAAGATACAAGCAGGATGATCGGGACCAAAACTATTGAGTTGAGCTGCGGAACGAGATTTTGTATTGTAGGAGACATGGTTTAAGAGCTGAAAATTGAACTCAAACGACAAGGCAAGTGTAGGTAGCGAGATCAGAGGCTACCCCTTGAGAACACGATTTTTTGCAAGTAACCAATAGTTGAGATAGGTAGGATTTTGTCAACATTTCATCCATCTTATATCTGGAGCATCTACCAAAGGATACAGCCCCAATGGGGCCACTGGGGCTGAGAAAGCGTGGCGTTGGTGGTCAGGCTGCCGCTCCTCACCACTACCAATTCACTCCCGAATCCTACACAGTCATCTTTTCTTCGGGTAATCCCTCGATACGCTACTCACAGGTGAGAGCATATGACGCGAAGTAAGGTTCAGCCATGGAAAAATGCAAGAGATCCCTTGTTGGGAATCGATGCAGCAGCCAGTGATCCTTGGGTAGAACGATCGACTCCCGCGATCTAATGCATGATGCGGCATAGATTCGCGAGCACGAGGCGCTTCTTCTTTCCGTTTCCGGTCGCTTGGGCTGTTTTGTGCATGTTAGCTGCGAGAGCGAGGGTGGGGTGGGCACGAGAAGCCGATGACCCGTCGTTCGTCTGCCTTTTAGGTGCCCATCTACTGTGAGGTTCCCGTCTGACATCAGCAAGACCAGGACACAATTATTGATGTGTTTTCTGACTACCGTCGTGAGTCTTGTAAAGTGTCATACGGTAAGAAAATCGACAAGTGTCTGACAAGAAGGATGTATTCTAGATCTGCTCATATGGCCCATCCTTGCTTCGATCAGATGTTGCATCCAACCTTTGATTGGATACGAATTTCTCAAGATGGAAAACCCTTTCGGTCACCGACATATACCGCCACCGCGGCATGCTTACGGCCCATCAGGCTGGATTACGGTCAAGTATGGGGCTGAGACGTCGTGGAACCGAGTCAAAAGCGCTGATCCTCGCTGTTTGCGTTTAAGGTGTTGCTTGTTGCCTTTTTCACTGAAAATATCTAGGCAGACTTCGATACTCAGAAGAGCCAACAATAATGCTCCCTGGGGTCAAGACAAGAGGTGCGATGGTGTTGTCGAACAGCCTCGCGCTAGCCCCAGTACCGCCTAACCTATCCCATCTCTAGCGCCTCTGGACGACATCCGCTACTCTTCTCCGCGGGCAACGATGCTTTTCCGTGTTTACATCACAATCCTCCGCCGCAACACAGTAAAATCTCCAATCTGGTGACTCGCAAACCACAAAGGAAAACTCACCAAATGTCTCAATGCGCCCTCCCGCTGAGGCAAACTCTGCGCATCATGGCCCCCTATCCAGCAAGTCGGATACTTTTCCGCCGCAGCATCTCGGTAGCATCAACGTCACAGCACCGAACTCATCAACTATATAACAAAGCCAAGACGCAGCACAACAACAACACCCAAATCAATCAATTCTTCCAAAGCACCATTCAAACGCGCCAATTGACCGCCTCACCACCCACAATGTCTTCCGCACCTACTACCCAAGACCAGGCAAATTCCAAGGACTGGTCCGCATCCCAATATCTAAAATTCAACAACGAGCGCACCCGCCCCGTCTACGACCTCATCACCCAAATCCTGCCTCACATCTCTTCCCTCTCTCCCCGCATCTACGACTTAGGCTGCGGCCCCGGAAACAGCACTCGCGTGCTCACGTCCTCCTTCCCAGGCGCCCACGTGACAGGCATGGATTCTTCGCCTGACATGCTACGTCGCGCCAACGACGAATTTCGCTCTGACTCTGCAAACGTCGACTTCGTCAGCGGAGACGTTTCGGATTTCGCTGTGGAAAAACACACGGATTTAGTCTTTAGCAACGCAGTATTCCACTGGCTCCGCTCCGGCGACAGAATCCCTGCTTTACAGCGCCTTTTCACCTCGCTGAAGCCCGGCGCCATACTCGCATTCCAGATGCCAGATAACTACCACGAGCCCTCCCATGCACTGATGCGAGTAGTCGCCACCCTCCCCTCGCAACCCTGGTCCAAATACTTCGCAGACGCGCACGTGGGCGATTTGAGCGATACCCAGCGCCCAGATCTCGATCCCATCGAGCCCACAGCGCAGTTTTACAATGCGTTTGTGGAAAATGCGAGCTTGGTCAATATCTGGCGCACAAATTATCATCACGTGCTGAATGATGCGCCGGCGATTGTGGAGTGGGTCAAGGGAACGGGGTTGCTGCCGTATTTGAATCGCATCGAGGATGAAGGTGCGAAAGCGGCTTTTTTGAAGGAATACGAAAGGAGGCTCCAAGGGGCGTATCCGAAGCTGGCGGATGGAAAGGTCATACTGGTGTATCCGCGGTTCTTTGTTCTTGTTGTGCGCAAGTAGAAAAGAATTAGGCGTTGATGAAAAGTATGAAATCTATTATTACATTACGAAGTACGTAGGGAATCTTTGTATGTATTACATTGTATATATATATATAAGAATTTCTAAGCACAGCGAACCAAAATAACCTTGGATGCAAAGATGAGAAGGAGTGTTGTTCATCGGATATTGCCAAGTAAGCTTTCATCTATGTATCAACAGTGGGAACAAAGAAAACACAAAACTTGACTGTGCTTTCCCAGTTCCCCCCTCACTTGCAACACGATGCTTACACTCCCCCTATCCCTTCGTAACACCCTCCAATCGCCCCATCTCCCACACACACACACACACACACACCTCTTCTTCCCTACCTCCAAACTGGACGGACAGCCCTTCTTTTGTTTCGGCGCCCATAGCTAAAAAACGTAAATGGCACGTTTTTGAATTTACCCAGAACAACTCCTATACCAATGCTACAAAAACTCTCTCCCTTTAAAAGTAAAGAGTGCCGCAAAAGATGCAACACGGACACACAGACACTTAATGGAGACGCACACAGAGAGAGAGGAACACACACGCACGATGCAACCGAATGCAATCAAAAGGAAAAGAACAAGTCATCATCAAACTTTGTACCAAAAAAAAACCAATGCATAAAAGAGGATTTCTGGGGCCAGTCTAGATGTTCATGACGTAGACTGTGGGGGACCAGGGGGTATAGAATAGTATCACCGCTCAGTTGAGTATGCTTTTTCGCTCAAAGCCGTAAAATAAAGGTGGAGAGAACCAACGCCCACGTACTCCGGTAGGAAGCTTTAAAGAGAAGTCATTGAGTCTTATCCGGCACCTGCTGTGCCGACCTGTGTGTGTTTTTGGAAACCCGGCGGGCGGTAGCTGTTTCGGTGAGGCGAAGCAGTTCGGTGGCTGTTTGTTGATGCTTGTGGACTTGGCCCGTAGCCAGCGTTGGGTTGGCCTCTATCAGGCCCTGGGGCTGGGCTGTGTTGATTGCGGATCTGGCCGCCTGCTCCTGCGATTGGACGGACGGCCTCGCCTGCTTGGACCGAGGGATTGTTATCTGCTGTAGTGATCTGAGGTGCATTGCGTTGGTCCTTTCTTGACGCTGTACCATTTTGGTCTCTTGGTGCTTGGGTAGGAGCGGTGATTGGATTCTTTCCACGCTGCTCCCACTGGCGCATAATCTCTTTTGCGCTCATATCAGATGTCTCATCGCTTAGCAGTTCCATAATTTCTGGGGGTACCTGCATGACGTTAGAAAGGCAGGATGGTCGGGCAGCTAGAGCTACTTACCTCGGAAAACTCATCATTGTTCTCAATGAGATCAAACACCACCTTAACCGCGGCTTGATCTACACTCTTCACCTCCCTATCGTTACTCTCGCGCAAAATGTTGGGTGCCATGACAGTGGCAATGTTCCAGGTGTCCATCTTGTTACCCGTCTCCTCGTCGACAGTGTGGAAGGACGATACCCAGTTCAGGAAGCAAAACAGTACCTCCATGGTATCCCGATGGGCCTTGGGTAGTAAGCAGAGAACGAGGTGTAACACCTTCTTTCTTTGAGCTTCATCTTGAATGTCTAGTTGAGTCAGCAGATGTTAATATGTACTCCTAGCGCCAGCACTTACCGTTGGCTACCATGAATAATCTGTACAACTTCAATGTCAGGACAGGTTCCGGCATCAGTCGAAGGAAGCGCTTCAGAAGATTGGCGAGAATGACCGGATTCTTGTTGTTCAGGTCAACCTTTTGCACACCATTGGCATCAATCTCCTCCTCAAGCTCGCGCAGAGCCTTGAGGTTGCCGTTCTTTCGGAAAACACCCTCAATGGACATGTCCATGTTTCGCATCGCGGTGATGCAGTCTTGTAGCAAAGCTGGGACCTTGAGAGCGCCTGGTCCAACACCCTCTGTGCACTCATCACCAAACTTTTCCACCAGATATTCGAGAGACTGTCTAAAGGTCGCCTTGTCCGATACAGGCTTCTCGACGGCGCTATTGACATTCTTCTTTGGCTTGGCCTTGTCGCCTTTAAAAGCTTTGGCAAAACCAATCTTGCCCCAGAAATTGTTCTTTTTCGACTCAATCAGGTCGAGCAGTTCGCCTTGGTTGTACTGGCTGTCATCGAGCAAAAGCCCGAGTTGAAGGACAGCCAGCCCCTTGAGCTTGAAGTATTCTAATGGCGAAAGCTCCGAAAAGTATGTTCGCGAGCGGCCTTCGCTCATTTGCTGCAGTTCTTGACCACCGGAAAAGTCGCGGCGATGGCCGGTCTGCAATCTCCCTTGTTCGCCTTGGCCGAGCAGCGCACTGCCACCAGCACGGAAAGCATTGGGTCGTTGTTCTCGTTGCTGTTCCAGGGCAGCCATACGCGCAATGTCGTCTAAGGCAAGAGAATTGACGGCGAGGGTCACAGCATCAGTTTCATTTCCTTGACCTTCTTGGACGATTTGCATTCCACCCCTTAATTGACCCTCACCTCCAGCTGAATCGAGTCCTTCAGGACCGTCAATGATGCGCGATGCACGTGCGCGCTTCATGGTGTTGGAGAGATGCTTGTCGAGACGCGTCGACCTGAGACGCTTGATGTCCGACATTGATTGTTCGTAGGCGGCATTTTGGCTGACATGGCTTTCTGTAGTCGGGGTTCCACCATAGGATTTGGAGCGGATGTCTGATCGCAAGTGGGCCGGTTGGGAATCCGCATCGGCGTCTCCCAGACGATGGCCTTGTGAGGAGTCATAGCCGGCTAAGTTGGGGTCATCTACAATTCATTAGTGGGACGAACGTAATCTCGATAGCGGCTCCAGAAATCTGAGTCGAGGTGTCAAGATGAGTGGTGACGAGGTGGTCGGTCAAGGAGAGGCTTTTCTTACCTGAAGTGTGAGGCAATGCGCCGCTCGAACGCAGAGTAGCCATGAGGCGGGCATGTGCCACATTTAGTAGATGAACGTACTGGCGCAGTTTGCTGATTTGCTCGAATCCCTTTTCCGCGTCCGCACTCGCTGCGGCGCAAGCGGGACAGAGGACAGTCCGCTTGGATTGAATCCAGTAAGCATTGCGAGGGTCATGTCGGAGGTCAGCGTTGCAGCCACGGCAGACCATGCAACTGTAGTTGAACGACATGTTGTTCAGGTGGAGACACTTGTCTTCGACCTGGGCATCGCAGATGGGACACGCGTCAGCCCATCTTGGGACCAGACGCGCAGACTCAGCCGCCTGGTCTTTTTGGGACTCTTCCTCTAGTCGTGCGTCAAGGGAATTGACTTGGGTGAGAAAGTTGGTCAGGCCAGTAGAGGTGCGGGTTTCGCGCTCTAATTTTAGAGCTCCCTGCAGACAGATGCGGATCAGGAGCTTCAGATAGTGGGCGAGACCAGTCACCAGGGACAGCAATTCTTGGGTCACACCCAGCCGACGTACACCGGTACCCTGGGACTGGGTAAGGAGCGCGAAAAAAGCAACCACCTTCTTACAGAGAAGTTTTGATTCACGCGAGTATGTCAGTCCTTTCGGGGTTCGGACGACCAATTGCGAGTCGAGCGCGTCGGCAGCAGCAAACAGCAACTCGACGTGGACAATGAATTTTTTCGCTGCCATGACGCCGTCTACGTAGGCTCCGTTGCTGACATGCAGAAGCATGTCGGAAATGCATGTGGCCGACTTTTCCTCAAATGCTGACAAGGTCTTCCAGATCCAGTTGACCTTTGCTTCAATTTCCTCCTCTTGTTGGCGCACAGTCTCTCGCACTTCGTCGGTGGCATCTTTGTCGGCCTCGTGGAGATGCTCAATGACAGGCTGGCCGGTGGAGTGGAGTCGCACGTTCCAGTACTTGTGGATCATGTAGCATTCCGGATGCCAATGCTGATTCTGGCCGTTTCTGAAAATCTCGACAAACTGCTTGAGGATGGATGTTTGACAGCCATTACAGCGCTGGGCAAATTTGGTTGAATAGTGGTAGTGGCAGTAGACACTGCCCTCGTGCTCGTAGTAGCTGTCGGATGCGCCGAAGACGGTGGGGCAGACGGAGCAGGTGAAATGCTCAATGTGGTATTTGCGGTCAAGCGCAGTGATGTAGGAGCCGCGCAGAGCCTGTCCGCACTCGAAGCAAAGCAGGTCGAGTCGGCGGAAATAGTCTGTCTCGCACAACGGGTACTGACCAGGAGGTTTTTCGGGGACGGGGAAGAATTTAGATGCGACAATCTTGTTGCAGTCCTAGGGGACGGTCAGTCAATGCGTCGGGGGAGTGGGTTGTGGATAGTGGTAGTGAGTGTGGGATGAGCGAGTCCATGGCTAGGTAGCATGACGCCGACTACGTAATGTGCTGTTGGTTTGGGGGGGGGGGGGGGACAAAACGAAACGGGCGTCTTACATGACAGGTGAAGCATTCGAGGTGGTAGGTGTCGCCCAGGGCTCGCACAAATTGGCCGGTCAAGCCTTCTCCGCACTTTCCACAAATCTTGCCGCTGCGCTTGGGTTTGGAGACGGGCTGATTCTGGTCGCCGGGGTCGGTAGCAGAGCGCGAGGGATGGCCCATGCCGTGGGGCGCGAGCGAGGTGGACGACGAGGCGCCGTCGTCTGTGGCGCGGCGCATGAGGCCGGTGGAGGACTGAGGATCATTGTTGTGCTGGTGGTGGGCGCCCTGGTTGTCCATCGGAGGCGGTCCCTCCGCTGGTGTGCCCATGTCCGGTTACGCCAGTTTCGAGGATGGGCAGTATACAGCGTCGGGAGGGAGAGAAGATCTTGGCAGGAGCCGAGGGGTCAAAGGGGGTGGGTGACTTGGAGGCGGTGACGGTCAGGGGCTTGGAGGACGACGGCACGTGTCGCGACGAGTGCAGTGGGCGACGAGAGTGCGTGGGAAGTGGGGGGGTTATGGGGTGTGGGGAGTGCGAGGCGGCGGTTGTGGGCTGGGAGGGCAGGTGACTGGCGGCAGCAGGGCGGCGGTGGAGGGCAATCGGGCGATGGTTCCTGGGATGCGCAGCGTCTAGCAACGGGCAGGCTGTGGTAGTCGGGGGGAGATTATGTACAATGGGCGTGGCGGAGAGGTGGACGGCAACATGCGGCCGCAGCGGGATGGGAGGGAGGCGGCGTGCGGTGGGATTAGGTTGGCCGGGGGTGGTTGTGTAGAGGAGGACCCAAGACCCTGAGCGATTGGGTGAAACGCAGTATGTAGGCAGGGCGGGCAGGGCGACGGGCTCGCGATGGGTGCAGACAGAGGAGCGCAGGCAGATCCGGGGCTGCAGACAGGGCAATGGTGGCGGCTGGGCGGGTGGTGGAGGAGAGGGAGTGGGTGGTAGGATGGGAGGGGGTGGTGTTGGTGTTGGTGTGGGTGGATGTTCCTGTGTCGCTGAGGCCGCCGGAGAGCTTGTCGAGAGAGAGGAGAGGCATGGCGGCCGTGGAGAGAGGGGACGCTAGCCCGATTGGGGCCCGGCTTGATTGGGATATTGGGATCCACGCCGGCAGCAGCACCGGCGCCAGAGGGTTTAGGGCGATTGTGAAGGGCTCTCGAGGGTCAGTATCGCTATGTACGTGTATGTAAGTCTATGTAAGTATATGTGCATGTGCGCAGCTGTTAGTATAGGCGATATGCACGTACAGGTACATGCGTATACGCCCGTGATACGAGCTGTGTTATTGCGACTTATCTTGCCGGCACGCACACACGCTCACACATACACACACACACACACACATGTACACTACACTCACGCACCCCACAGCAAAAGCGCCCACGATGGCAAGCGTCATTGCCGAGGGTCGAACCGGGGGGCCAGGGCAGGCTATTCCTGGCACACGGCGCTGCAAGCCTGTTCTGCGCCTCTGCAGGCGGACCAGCACCAGCAGCAAACGCGCAGCAGCGCGCAGGGCGGGGAAGGCCGTGACAATACGCCCGAGCATGCCAGCCTGGGTCAAGCGGCCTGCCTGCCCTAGTGCCAAATTCACGCCTTGGCAGAGCCTGTCCGACACCAACGCGACTCGGTGCTCTTTGACCTTGACATTGGCACCGCCCTGCCTTCCTTCACCGCTAACACGACCACGCTTGTCTCGCATACCGACAAGCCTCCGCCAGCACCCTCCCCCGACTCTCTCCCGTCCGTCACAACAACCCCCATCACCGCCATCATGGAAGGAGACGGCGAGCACAATGCCTCCCAGAGGCCCGAGCCGCCCGTCTTCAAAGCACCCAGGCTCGTCTCGCGCCCCAAGCCACCGGTTCAGCAAGAGGAGGAAATGGGCTCTGAGATCAAGCTCGGCGACTTTGAAGATGTCCATGCTCTCTCCGTCTCAGAGGCCCGCGCCGTCGTCACCGCCGTTCACGAGGCGCGCAAGAAGAAGGACCCCGAGAACAACCCGCTGCGCGACCGCATCTACAACGACAGCATGTGAGTTGGAGCTTCATGCTATACGGTCGCCGCGACTGACGCTGCACCAGCACAATCACCCAGTTCCTCGACTACCTCGACAACTTTGCCCGCTACAAGGAAGAAGACAGCCTGCACTCCATCGCCGCCCTCTTTGATGCCCACCCCGAAATCTCCGTCGTCGAAAAGGCGCTGCTGGGTAAGAACATGTCCAGAACAAAGCCGTTGATGGGGAGCTGCTGACAACCCCACTAGGAACCCTCACCCCCGATACCGCTGAGGAAGCTATTACCCTCATCCCTTCCCTTAAGATGGACGAGGACGAGCTGCAGCTAATCCTTGACGAACTGAACAAGATGCGTGAGTTGGAAAAGACCAAGAACACCGCCCTGGGCACCTGAAGCTGACTTCTCGGACAGAGGATCGACTTCGATAATGCTCCGACTGATCGACTGCCACTGCCAACCAAACAAACACCTTGTACCCACTAACGATTACCAAAACGGCCATCAAACATGCTCTTGGCCTCGCGCATGGTTGACCCTGCCACTCAAAATCTAGGCGAGCAATGGCCAAGACATGATGACTACAGCATAAAAACTGGGCCCATTGACGGCCTCGACTTGAACATGTGCCAACACCTTCTTCCCAACACTAAGGGACGCATCTAAAAATAGCTACACGCCCATTGGATCACTTACCTGTTTTGACACCACAAAACTCAACACAGTCTCCATGCTCAAAATATTTCCATTTCCCCACTTCCCGCTCGTCCATGTCATGTACACTTGTCTACGCACTGGCAGCCCCTTGGCCAAGATTGACAAACCGAGACAGGGCGCAGCCACTCATGTACATATGCATGTACTTTCCAAGTATCCACTTTGGCCTTGCAAATGTCAAAATAGATACCAATCACGTGCTTTCTTTGCCCACTTGCAAAGTACTCGTGTTCAGATGATTATGCACTAACTGCAGTTTGATATCACCTGGAATGAATCATTGTTACTACCCAATCATACGCATGAACTATCAGTTCGACTTAGTCCTGGCTTTGAGACATTATAATCAAACAGTAATGAATTTGTAGTGCGGATAACCGACGATATTCACTTTCCCAGTACCATTTTACGCCAGCGTTAGAAAACCCCATCACCCATATACCTTCTCCCTCACAATCCCCGGGTAGCTGCGCACAACCCCCGTATACTCAATTGGCTTGCCTTCATCCATCGTCACCCTTGCTTCAGTACTGACCAGCGTGACATTTACCGCGCCATCTCGCAGCTCTGTGATTCGCTTGCCGGCATCCTACTCATATTAGCATAACATACAATATGTGGAACAAAGGAAGAGAAGGGGAGAACTCACATCCAGCACCCACCACCTCAACTCCCCTTCAAGAAACGGCAGCACAACCTCCTCGTTCAGTCCACCCAACGTCCCATTATTCACACACTCAACCAGCAACCCCGTCAAACTCGTTGTACCCACCATCTCTTTTCCCTCCCCACTCCCACCACCTCCAACTACATCCCGCTGTACAGCAGGCATAAGCACCATCCACGCCCCCGCATCCGCCTCCTCCCTTCCATCTTGCTGCAGTGAAAACTGCACTCGGAACGTCCCCCGCATATCCTTTGCCTTCACCCGCGTTTCAATAACCCAATCCGTATATACCCCACCGTTCCTCTCCAACAACCCCCCAAACACACTCTGCCGCTGCACCACCACCTGCGTGACCGCCATCTCGCCCACCCTTCCGGCGTACAAGCGCGACACCGCGCCTTCCACATGCGTACGGAACGACTCGTCCGATGCGAATTTCCAGCGCTGGGTCTCGGGGTATGCGTAACCCAGCGCGGCGGTGTCACGGCACTCGTTCGTGGTCCAGAAGGCAGTGGGCGTGCGGCGGAAGGGGAGGAGCGCGGTGTCGGGGTCGACAAGTTGGTTATCAGAGAGGAAGAGGTTGGATTGGGTGCCGATGGAGGAGGGGAGCATAAAGGTTTGGGGGTGGGATAGGGTGTAGAAGGTGAAGAGGCGGTCGACGTTTCTAAGTACGCAGTACTTCATTAGCCAAGTTTGGCGGGTTTGGGGGCATCGGGGAACGAGGACGTACGCATGATGCAACATGAACAACGGTTCAAAAGCTGAATATTCCAACGGCCACATGTGGCCCCAGTACGGTGAGTCGCGCAGGTAGCCGCCGCCGACGACGCCGTGGACCCAGCCATGGGCGTCTTCTAGAGCGGAGGAGAAGCGCGAGAAGGTGCTTGAGCGGAAGGCGATGCCGACTTGGGCGATGAGGTTGTTGGATTGGTTTTTGAAGGCTTCGGCGAAGAGCCAGGGGCGCGAGGGTGAGAAGGGGTCGTCTGAGGCTGGCCAGCGGATGGTGGAGTTCATTTTTCGCCACTGATGGGTTGTTAGTTTTTAAACTTGTAGGTAGATGACATATGTACTTTGCCGTGGAAGCCAGTGGGTAGCGGGTGGAACTTGTATGAGAACAAGGGGTTGTTCATCAGTACTGGTACGCCCGTTGTATCTGTAATCGTGATTGTAGGGGATAGGAACACATCGGGGACTGGGCCGAGCTTGGTGCCTTGAGCCCAGTCCCAGTATGGGATACGGAACTCGCGGGCGGCAGTGAGGTAGCGTTGAGATTGATCTGCTGGGGCGTTTGCAGCGATATCGTGGACGTGGTTGGAAACAACTTGCTATACACGCTCAGTGTGTATCTCAAGATATCTGTCGGTACACTTTGTGAAGTGACGAAAAGGCAGCAGGCTCACCTCAAACAAGGCAAGATATGGCCGATGCCACCCCAAGAATAGCTCATTGTCATGTGGACAGTAGCCTGCCTTGCCAATCTTCTCGGGCAAACCAGGCGCATCTCCCCATGTCTTATACGGTCTTCCGTGGATAGCTGCAACAAAAGGTCAGCCTTGCTCAGCACATCATGAGAATCATACCTACACGCCAGACCGTAGAAGGAAAACGGATCACTCTGATCAGCACGATGCAGGCTATCCAATGCCAACATGTACAGACTCCATTGATCGGGATAGTTATCCATCAGGTCCCGGATCTCGCGGCGCACATAGACATTTCCTATGCCGTGTCAGCAAATCACTTTCTTTCGACATTCAAAACACATCACCATTATCATCCCGTGAAGTGGCACCAGTAACTATATTCGTCTCAGACTGGCGTGTCATATAAGCCCCATCATCCTGCAGCGCCGTACACTGCGTACACGATACAAGAACCGAAATCGAAAGTCGTAAGATCCAGAATCCACACATCATAGTCGAGAAATACCGGTGGAAAGTTTGTGTATGTTATCGGCTGGAGATAGGTCAGTGGGCGTACATAGCTATTCATACTTTAAACTCGCATATGTGGATATCTGGAACCAGTACGCCAGCGCTACGACTAACTCAACGTGGGCATGGACAACGGTTTACAAGTCCATTACCGTATATTTGTGACGTGGATATACACCATCAAAAGAAGTCTAGTAGTAACGTGGCTAGACAAGTATACCTCAAAGTCTCCACACCACACTACCCCTGATCTCGCGCGAACACCCCATCAACCACCCGTCCGTCACCAGAGAGAAAGCAAACAATGGCTTCTGTGGCTTGGCTACTCCTAACTACCGCTTCTTGCCAAGCAGGGGTCACTTCACTTACTTGATATCGCCCACACGTGGCGTAAACACCATGCCAAGTCTATACGTGACGAATCGACACGCACCTAAGTCTGTCAAGCAACCCCTGGTCCGAAAAGCGTTGGTCTTCGCAACTGCACCGAACGTCCAGCCATCAGCGAAGCGCACAAGGAGCGAGGAAGCGAGGAGCGCAAACGTACATGGCTATGCTATTATGATTGTGACTGGAAACGACCGAAAGGGAACGCCCGGGCGCTGAGGCGTCGATGGAAGAAGGGTAGAGAGGGGGATAGTAGCGCTGGCATGGTGGGTAGGCTTGTTGCTTGGGTGAAGGCTTGTCTGCTTTTGGTTTGTGATCCCGTGAGGTGTGAGAGTACGAGCGTGGTACAAGGATTTTTTTCAGGAGATTGTGTAACTTGTAACGGGTGTGTGTCTTACCGATATCCAAGCCAAGGCCGTTTTTCGTTGCTGAATTGGCGCAGTCATTTTATCGTCTTGGATGTTGGAGGTTAATATTTTACTAAATTGGTCATTGTTGTAGATTCGCTGGCTCATTGAAAAGAAGTGAGCGGTGCGTCATGAGAGTAGGCTGCTAAAATCAGTGTTGTACAAAGTATGTGGAAACATATGCCTAGCAAGATGATTTGGCTGCGATGATGTGTCTGGTGGGGAGCACGTGCCCATGATGGGAACAATTAGATACGATGATGAGAGCTGTCATCCTGAGTGTTCAGCATTTACTACCCATTGCCATGCTGTTCTAACCTGGTGAGACATTAATTCGCTTCCTTTGTCTGATCCTCACAATTTTAGGGCACAACAAATACCAGGTATAGTTTATTTATGGTATCGAATTTCCAGAAAAAGATGCTCAAAAGGTCCGTCGTACAACTAGGAGATGCCGAGAAAATAGTCCACCCGTATATGAGCGCTTGGAAAGATGCTTTGACTAGAAAAATACCGTGATAAAAAATGAGTCGTCTGATTTGGATGGGCGTCATGAAATTCGTAAAAGCGTACCGAATGCGGTTTCGGCGCAACCATAACACAGCCTTAAATATCGTTGTAACCAAGCAGCCGCTTATCTAGGTCCTTGTCCGCGACCGCCCAAGCCCAAGCACGACCAGCTTCGCCACACCATAGGGCTGATGGATCATCAGACTTTTCAAGCATGCCGTCCTTTGCCATAGACTTGATTTCGTGCCCGGTAGTGTAAGTCATAAAGTGTTCGAACTGTTTGCCCTCCAATGCAAGAGCATTTCCGGTGATGCCGTGGCAGAGACAGGGCTCTTTTGTGAGAAGTCCTCGTTCCCAGATACATTCTCTCGCCTTGGCAACAACCCTATCAATCCGGTCATGAAGCCCAGGGAAGTATTTTCGGATAGAGAGAAGCGAAATAACAACACCGGGTGCTCCATGGCAAACTTGTACGAGCCTATCACGTCCCGGTGGCAGCGATGACGGAAAGTTTCCACTTTCGTACTGATAACTCAGCAAAGCGCCTAGCTCGGCATCCAGTTTGGGCGCCCACGCAGGATCTGTGAGAACAATCTGTGTGATGATGCCGATGGCCCCGTGAACAGCACCAACGTACGCCTTGCCGTGCCATTTCCAGGGACGTGGACTATCCATGATGTTTTCGATAATCTCATCCGTGGTGTCCTCGATGAGCTCGGTGATTTCCTTGTTGCCGGTAAAGGCTTTGCGTACCAGTCGGAGAAGGTACAGGTAGCCTGCACGGCCATACAGCCACTCGTTGGAAGTACCGTCCTCAAGCATGACTGCCGCGTGATCACAGAGTTCCTTGACAGTGTCTGGGTCTTTTGCTGTAATGGCGTACAGCGCAAGAAGCGACATGATGTCGTTTGAGACACCGCATTTCTTCGGAGATGGAGGTGGGAATTTCTTGATGTGAGTCTGGGCCTGTTCAATATAGGCTGCCGACCAAGTATTCAAAGGATAGCCGTCTAATTTCAAGTCCGGGTAAAGGTCGTGCAATGCATAGAAGAGGAAGGCGACGGAGATGGGACCATAGTACAAGCCTCCGCCTGGGGGGATGTGGTGCGGAGGGTAGTCGGTGATCAGCCGGTCCAAAGACGCTAGTAGCTGTTTGTGAGGGTCTCGTTGCGCGAGCGGTGCATCGTTCCGGAAATAGCGGGGTATTGAAGGCGGCGCTGCTTTTTCCGCAGTAGCAGCAGACGGAGCACCTTCTTCAGACATGGCGACAATGGAATCGGAATTAGATGAGGCAAGTTCTTTGTTGGAAATGAAACGGGCAAAAGTTGGCGCGAGTTCAGGATTGCTGCGACTGATCCATTTGCAGCAACGCCTTTCACGCGTGCGAAGTAGCGTAGCGGCCCAAGCGTGACGTCAGTGGGGTCCGCAATATCATTCCATGATTGGCTTTGCACCACGTCAACTCTGCCAGCCCCGGCGAAGAACCCAGTATCTTCCATCGGATTTTGCATTTTCTGATCCTTTCTTTCGGTCCGATGTGTTCTACGTATACACTAGTTTTCCTCTTCTAGTGTGTTCACGACAGTTTTTGATCCATGTATACGTATACGGCTGTAGAGGTGACTGAGGAATTCCGTCTCACCCAACATGCTGAATACCTGCGCACGTGTGCTGTTCAGATGACTATCCATGAAATCATATGATCATACCGATCTTTCCACTTTCATCTTTTGCTACATATTTATTGTACAGGTTATTACAGTGCGTTTCCGGGGTATACTCTGCTTTCTCCACTGCAGCTCGTCCATAATCAACATCATTGCATCCGCCTCATTATTTGACAGCAGTCCTAAACGTAAAAAGGTTTATCGATCTGCAGAATGGCCGGGCCACGGCAACGGCTCCGCTAGAAGCTCTGCACGTCGTCCCATTGAGTCACGTCGGCGACACTGGGGCAGAATCTCTCGACTGTCTAGTTGTGGGCGTTCATATGTTTCCGTAGTATCAGCTCTGTATAACTCTGCCATTTTCTTTTGAAACTGTGACAATGCTTTGCCTGGAAATACATTAATTAGCTCTTCTTGATACCTGCCGTTGTGACACGGGACAACGTACTTGATAGCTGTGGTGTCATGTCCCCGCCAACAAATGGCGAAGGGTATGCTGGCGCTTTGTAAACTTTTGTAAGTCTACACTTGCGAATAAAAAAGAAGATTGCTAGCAAGAGAGTGCAGAGAATGACGGAACCGAGGACTGCGCCAACAACTGCTGCTACCGGTGCTGAATGCCCATAACTTGGTATTGATGGTGAGGCAGTAGATGTTGGCGCTGTCCCTGTCACACTCTCTGTAACTGTTTGGTATGGTGGCTCTGCAAGGCTGACAGTAAATCTGGATTCAGATGATGGACTTGCGATAGCGGTTGACACTGTTCTTGTAGTTGTAATCATTGAAGGGAATCGAGTTGGTGTTGTAGTTGAGGAAATCGTAGTCTTGGATGGGCTGGCGATGGTGCTCGAGATATCATTCGAAGCTATGCCGTGTCAGTTGAGACGATCAAATCAACAGCGCATCAACTTGCATCGGCCTGGAGTAAGATCCTTATCCGCTGGACAAGTACCACCCGGCATGAAAGGATCCATGGTGCAGCAACCACGAAACCCATTGCACACGTAGAAGACACCGCCTGCCGGGCATTCACCCACACGAGGTAAGAGTATCGAGGCCATTGCTAGACTTTGGGGCTTTAGATCGTTGAATTACAGTGGTGCTGCCGAGAACTAAGAGATATGAGTATACCATGGCGGCCATGGCTAAACCTCACAAGCATGTTTGCAGCAGTTCGTGAGCACAGCACAAAAACAGTGCTGCTGCCAGCCGGCGTGTGTGCGCAAACAAAGCAGCGCATCGCAAGGGCGTGCCTTGGCTTGACTCCTGATCGAACCCGAAACGCCATGCCTGATGCGGATACTTGATCAAAGAAACTACCAAACTATTCCCTGCGCACTTGGTGTTTTGCCGCAGGAGCTTCAGATAGTATGCTATTATAGTATTCAGCCTCGTCGTTTAGTGTTATTATGAGGTCAAAGACGTCTTTAGATCAAATCTCTACCTATTCGCTTCATGTGCCAATTGAACGGAGCTTTGTGAGCTGTCTAGACCTGGTGCATGGGTCTGGCCAACGTACATGAGATGTATTGCACTTCAAAGGCCTCAAGTTTGGGACGTTATGACGTGGCAGTAGAGAGATGTAGCTAGTGGACTTGCTCTGAAGCCAAACGTTGGCTATCTTGGTGCGTTCGTTCCGCCCCCGTAAGTACCTACTTGACGATCGCTCCACAATAAGAAATCCGTATCGCCATGTCAAATCGGCTACAGCCGTGTCACACGAGCGAACACACTAGTGCTATGTTAGGCTCAAGACATACATTTGCAAGCACAGTGAAGCAGCACGCTTGAGTCGTGTAGTGAGACGAAGAGCAAGGGAAGTGTGCCGTGGATGGCGACATGTTTCTAGCGCCCCTTCTATCGAATAGACGTTTGATCTCCCTGTTGGAACTTCTTCAACATATCATTTGACGAGGGTAGACATCATCGTATTGCTACTGGGATGCGTTGACAGCATAAAGTCTTACACTGCTGCATTGGTCACTTTTTCTACCTATCAGACATCATAGTGACTAAGTACCGTCAATACCAACATCAGCAAGGCAATGATAAAGCTTCCAGCGCCGAATATTACCTCCCAAATGCCCCAGAAAATGCTTCCTCCGATTATTACAGAAGAGAGAAGGATACCTAGAAATGCAATGCCGGATTTTATAGGACACCACGCAGTCTCCACATGCAAGCCATGTAGTTCTAGATATCTATTCTGAAATCCGAAGTCGTTGATTGGGCGATTGATGTTTCTGGTAATATTAATTTTGGTCGGATCTCATAGCACATTTATCTAATACTTACCTATGGCGATGGATAAAGCGATGGTCACTCAATCCACCAAGTATTTTTTGAGACCTCGCACCGACCGGTTCTCGGAAGTAGCAAGAAAGGAAAGACGTGGTTTCAATCCAACGTATCTGATCATTGCACCTATACCATTCTTGGAAAGGACAGGTAGAATCACTAGAGTCTTCTGAAGAGTAGGTTGGACAATCAATGTTGCAATGATTGTATTTCCCAGAGTTGTCACGATAGCAGCAATCCGGAAAATCGGTCGAATCGAAGTCTGCTATCATTTCAATAGCTTTCATCGCTTCTTTTCGTTCCTCAGAGTAGCTCTTATGCAAGGTGTCTAGGTCTAGAGGTTGAACGAAGGCTAAGAACCTTTTTGAGTCACGGCAGATCAACCGAAACTATATCTAATCTTAGCACGAGTAGGCACACTACAAGACGATAGGGACATACAGTAACAGGCTTGAGTCTCCTAAATCTTTGAAATGCATGCGAAATTCGTAAGAAGCCAAGCTCTTTATTATACTTCTCTTTTAATAACTTGAAGATTTCATCCTCATATGTCTCAACGTCGGTAATAGGAACGTCCACAGCCCAGGTTTTGAAATCCTCGGAGTTTTCGGAGCCCCATAGCAAGAACACACAGCTCGCACCGTCCTTCTTCTCAGTTTCCTCTTGAAAGTGAGTGAAGATGGGGTCATCGGTCAATTCGGACGTCTTTGATGAAGACCGCTTCAGTAAGACTTCGTACCTAGCCTTTTGCCGACTTCTTTCCTTATATTTCTTAAATTCAGTATCTCGAACAGGTTGGAACCCAGTTACTCCTGCCGCGACTGCTTCTGAGTGTTTAACGCGGGCTCTCTCTGGTCGCGATGGAAAGTCTACTAACATCCCTCCCTAGGTCACGCAAGTCCCCCCGTGCCGCAAAGAATCCGCAATTTTATATCTTGGAACTCACGTAATCGCTATTATTGCACTATAATAATAAAACACTTATTCTTAAGGTTATTTTCTATAAACTTATAAGGGCAATTAAAATATTATAGTGTATTTAGTCCTGCCGTCGCTAATTCTATAGTAGCTAGTCTAAGGCTAGTTAGCTTCACACTCCTATTATAGCACGATACATATAAGATTTCTAGATATTAGTAGAATTAGATAATAAGACTGTTGTAGAAGAAGATATCTCTATATATATTTAATATATTGTGTTTAAAGAAGTTATATTCTAGATTTATCTGAGTTCTACCTATGATTCTATTCTATTAGCTTGTAACTTTGGCGTACTTATGTGATAGCGCATTAGTTTATGCTAGGTTAGATTAGGCTAAAGTGTAGCGTTTAGTTCTTGAAGTATCTATATAATTACGTGCTGATCTATTTCTAGTATTAGAGCGAGTTCCTTTGTCTTCTAGGCGGTGTGGTAGGGAGGGTGGGTGTCTATTATAATAGCCTTATGTTACACGGGGTAAGGGTCTATACTTCTCTATCCTGGTCCGCACTAAGGCAGGTGAGTATTACGTTAGTGTTCCGTGAGGCTTGTCTGGCGATGCAGTGGAGTTGGCGTGCTTAAGGAGGGTTTGACAAGACTAATCTATTTGATAGACTAACTTGTGACAATCTTGTTAAGTAAGGATACTAGTAAGAAAGTACAATTTGAGTTGACCACAACGAATGTAATAATGAAATCCAACCCATTCTTATATCCGTTGCCTTTGGTCCTGCCATCCCTTACTTCCCTGCCATCCCTGGGATGGTTGTGATGTTGGGGATGGCTGCCATCCCAAGGCGTCCTGCCATCCCTCGGATGGTTGCCCTTGGCGGGATGGCACATCACGTGACCTAGCCCCGCGATGATCATTACCTTCTGACGTGGACGTCCATAGGCCTTCAGCCATCTCGTC